GACTCGACTCAATTTTTGATGGAAGAACTTAGCTAATTGCAAGCGCTGCAAATGTGAGGTTTTTATTTCAAATCCAATGCTCAGACTCGACTACTTATTTGATACAAAAAACACACAACTGCCTTTGACTAAGTTTTTCCTTCAAATCTTATATTCGAGCTCGCAGCCTCATTTGTTTTTTGGACTACGCAAAGTACTTTCCATAACTTTTTATCAAATATTCTTTCATTTTCTGGAGTTTTTAAGATTTTTAATAACTATTTTTTATAAACAATAATTTGCAAAAATTATTTAAACTATAACTATTAGACGCAGTTTTTTCTTACGAGTTCATTGAAACCAAAAACTCATTTTTCGTCAAAATGTCAGTTAACTAAGTTTTTATATCACACGGCAGTTATGACAAATGAAAATTTGGGAATTTAATTATTGTGACAAATAAAGATTCGTAAAATCAAATATTCTGAAAAATAGAGTTTCTGAAAGTTACATATTTTAGCGAATGGAGATTCCCAAATTTGCATTTCTGACTAGTGGAGTTTTTGTGAATTAAGTATTCTGATCAGTGGATTTTCGGTTACATAAGTCTCTTTTAAATAATAAATATTATTCTTATACTCAACTTGATTTTCATTTAAGGTTTTCTAAAATCAAATATACGTTTTATTTGTTTTTAAACGCAGTTTTTTAACATCAGCTAGTCTATAGATGATTTTCTCTGAAATAACTCATATGTATATTGCATAATAATGTTTTTTATTTTTTATTCTTTTCTTAATCTACATTAATTACTGTTTTTTTTTTAAATATATCTAATCATATTAGGTCGACATTTGGATGGAAATGGAAATTTCATTTCTTCGTCGTCAGGCGAATTGATTCGTGAATATAAGAAGAAGGATAATTGTATTGTGGATCAATATAATAATTATAAAGTAATTGAAATTTAATTAAATATATTATTGAAACAACTCTTTGAATTAGATAATTATTTTTTTTATGTAAAATAGGTAGACGGAAAAGAAACTCGATATGAAAATTTTGCTGACGCTGGAGGATTAAATGCAGCTTATGGTGCTTACAAGGAAAAAATTAAGAAAGACAAAATTAAAGAACAAAGTTTACCAGGATTAAAAAACTTAGATTCAGATCAATTGTTTTTTGTTGGTTTTGGTGCGGTAAGTTAAGAATTTCACTTTCAGATTATATCTCTTTATATACTAAAAAAAGATCTCGCCGCCACCACCGTTGTTTCAAGAATTAATTTATGGTTTTAGGTTTGTTAGTATTATGGCCCTGATTTTAATCTCAAACCCAGCGTCCTCTTGACCTAGGTCCTCAACATTTGACCTTAAATTATGAGGTTATGTACCCTTACTTATTGAAAATTAAGATTATAGCCTTGGTTTGAGATTAAAATCGACAAACATAACCTCAAAATTAGGTAAAAACTCAGAGCTAAAGTACGAACGTAATCTCAAGAATTCTTGATTACGTAGGCGGTTGGCGCGCGATATGTGATGTACTACATAATTAATACATTTTAATTTGTTTAATAGAAATATTGTGAGAGTGGAATACCATCGTACTTAACGTCAAAAAGTTCTGATGCTCACACGGAAAATCCTTCGAGAGTAAATGGAGCCGTGGCAAATGTAAAAGGATTTAGTGAAGCATTTAAATGTCAAAAAGAACCAATGTGTTCACTATGGAATTGATTAAACTAAATTTTATCATTATCATGTAATATATAGAATGAAAATTATGAAGAACATTAGATATAACATTGTAATGCTAAATCTAACAACCAGGAAAATGTTTTTTTTAACTTAAGGAAGATACGTAAACTCTAATTTATTAACTAATTTTTAACAAAATTTATACTTTTAATAATTGAAAAAATCTTACGATTGTAGAGAATGTTTCATTTTTAAAATAAGCTATTGTTTATAAAAATTGCAAATTTTGTCTGTTTTGATAGAAAAAAAGACAAAAATGTTAAAACAAATAATTATTTATCAAAAAAAATTTAATTTAACATAATTTTTCTCGAAAAGTGTATAACTGAATTTTCTGAAATTAATTTTCATTAAATTTTTGTTTACGTTAAAAACAATTTTTCAGTTTTTAGGGTATGTTAGGACCTCCATTTTTTTTCTTAAAGTAATCCTGTTTGTATCAAAGAAATTTGTGCATTTACAATACGTTTAAACAAAAATTTATTTATTTTCTTTTTTCATTGACTTAAAGAAAAATTTCTTTATTTAAACGCAATTTTTATTCAAATTTATGCGATTAATTTATACTCGAAATTTACCATTGTAAAATTATACAATTTGCACTTGTTTATAACCCGATAAATTATTTTTTTTATTTAAATATATTACAACTAAAATTATATATATAAATAATAAAAATATTATGTTTTACACACAAGAGGAAAAAAAAATCTATTTTTTATTTCCCGATTTAATTCTCATTCCATTATTCCTTATAATAACAAGATCGGTTACTTTATATTGTTAAAAACTATGCATTTTTACAAAAGACCTTGAAATCGATTCATGAATATTACAAATTTCTTTATTTAACGGCATGTGGGAAACTCCCACGTGACCTAATATGGAAAAATGTGTTTTGCGAAAACCAAACTTTCTCTAAAATGAAAAAAGATATTGGGCTAAAATGTTTAGAATTAATAGAGAACCTTACTGAAAATTCTCATGAAGGATCTTATATAGGATCTCACATAAATTCATATATTAAAATCGATTAAAATCCACATGAAATCCTATGTGTCATGTAAGAAATTATATATAGGAAATTAAGACATGATTTAATTTCGCATCCAACGAGGAATAAGTAGATTGTTAATAAAAAATTGCAATGTTAACTAATTGTTTATTAACAATCTACTTATCCATAAAATACTTCATATAGGGCTCGTTGGATGCGGAATTACATTAACTTTCAATTGCTAACTTCAGAATTATGGTAACTTTATTTGTTTGTAAAATATTTCATTTGTTATAAATATTAATTAATTAGTTAATTAATATCTTAAAAACTTTAAAAGATCCCACTCTGAAAATTATATGTTTTGTAGGAAATTAGTCAAACTTTTTATTGAGATAGTTAAAAAAAATTTTTTAAAATCCGATTTTGAGATATACGTAAATTAACATTTTAACCTTGAATTTCAAGGTCAAATTTTATTTTAAAAAAAATAAAATTTTATCACCATCGTGTAGCCCGTCAAAAAAGCTTTAAAAATCATCATATATGTGTTAACTTTTATGCATTCTACTTATAAATATTGTACGTTAAAAAAAAATTTGTTTCCAAAAGTCAAAAATGAAGAACGTTGTAATTCAAAAACTATTTTATCAAATTCAATAATAATTGATTTTTAGACTTTCACCAACAATGACAACATTTTAGAAAATTATGAATTAAATTTGAGAACTTTTAATTTTTTGTTCGGACATTTCAGGAATTTTGCCTCATATATATTTTAGGTCAAATAAGAATTAGACCACATGGATATTATACCAATTTTAAATTAAATTACAGTAAATAAAAATTAGCCAAGATAAATTTTGGGCCTAATAAAACTTGGGTTAGACAGAAAAAAGGATAAATGATCAAATATTATGATCAAATGTTACCAAATGTTAATTAGGGCAAATGAGAGTTATGTCAAGTGGGAAATAGGTCATTTAAAAATAGACAGATAAAGTTTAGGCCAAAAAAAATTACTTGACATAATGATTAAATCAAATGAAAATTAGTCTGAATAAATATTAGGTTACATAAAAATTCAGTTAATTAAAGATTAGACCAAATGAAAATTAGCTCAATTGACGATTAGGGCAAATAAGAATTATATAAAATTGATATTAGGTCACATAAGAAATTAGGCCAAATAAAGATTATTTCAAATATGAGTTTGAATATATTACGATTGTGATAATTGAATTTAGGCCAATTAAGCATTAGGCCATTTAAAATTTGGAGAAAATTCATATGCGTCTTGATAAAAATATTGCGAACAAAAATGGCTTAAAATATTTTAATTAATTAATCTATTTAGTAGAAACATTTATAATTTTTTACAGTAATTTCAGGTTTAGAATATTTATTTAAATAATAATTGTAAAAGAAAAATCATCAATATCTCTTCAAAATAGATAAATTATTCAAACTATTTTAATCCGTTTTTACTCCCAAAGCTTTTAACACATTTTTAGTCCCATTCAAATTATAACACATTTTTGTTATCAGCCTCTCTTTTGTAGTAAATTTGAAAGAGTCTTTTTTAAAAAGTGGTTTTTTAATAGAAATTTTTTTTTGGTAGGGGAGGTAATTTTTTTTCAATAAATAAAAATTGAAGGCCATTTTATAAATTACATACAGAGAAAAATTTGTTTGAAAGAACCAAATTTTGGTTGAATTTATACTAAATAAATGCATTGCTATATATACAGTCAAACAAAACGTTTGGTCGATTCAACTTAATTATTCAATTGAATACTTTTATTTAAATCAACCAAATGATTTATTGCATTTGATTAAATTTTAATCTTATAATCGAAACAAAAAGTTTGTTCCTTACCAGTAAAAAATTGTTTTGATTCAAGTGAATTATTTTATTAAGCTTATTTGGTTCATTTAAATAAATTTTTTATTTAAGCTAATTATTTATTTTGTTCAAATTTATCGGAGATAATCAAATAATTTTAGTTAAATGAAACAAATTATTTTTAATTAAAACTTATTCGAAGACAATGATTTAGTTGAATGAATCAAATTTTTATTTGAATTAACTTAACTTTTAAATTGTGTCAAACAAAATAGGTTAATCAAATTGTTTGGTTATGTTAAATTAACATTTTTCTTTGAATATATGGAACAAATTTTTGAGTTACAAAAGTCAGATAAGAAATTTTCTTTTCAAAAAAAACCTTTTTCTGTCGTATAAACAGTTTGCGTGACGCGAAGCATATAAAAGAGTTGATTCGAGTAAAAGCATCAATAGTTTATTGTTGAATTAAGCCGCTGCAGGAGGTGTCATTATAGGACAATTATTTATATAATTATTAGTATTATTATTAGAATTACTCATATTTTATTTATTTTCGATCATGTTCCATACTGTTTACTTGTGAGTATACATATATTTTTTTAAAACGTTTAATGTTAATTTCGTTTTACAGTTTTGTTTTTTAATTAAAAATCTCTTGAAATTTTTGGTGCAAATTTGAAAAAAAAGAATTTTAATATTTATATAGGGTCAGTCCACTGACTTTCGTGGTTGCGACCAAATTTTAAAAAAATCTAGTTTTAAATATGTGAAACTCGATGATTCCCTGAGTTCATTAACGATAATATTATGGTAAAAATGTTATTTCCTTTAAAAATATTAAATATCAAAAGTAGGAGGTTCACAATGTGATTTTGTAACCTTAAATTTTTCAATTTTTTTAAAAATGCTATTATTAAAAAACTATTAAAAATTTAATGTTGGAACTCACCAAAAACATAAATCACTTTATTCTGCACAGAGGAACGAAAGAATTATTGCAAAAATTTATTATTTTTGGATGATATACGATTTTAAAAAAAATTTTATTTAAATATTCTCAAGATTTTTATTTACTTATAACTTTTTTGTCGGTGTTCCGAAAAAATTGAGGTTTTGCACATAGATTTTTAATAATATTCTTTACCTTCTATTAAAATCTTACGAAGGTGTTTTGCTTCGTTTTGGAGATATTACTTTTCAAAATTTTTTATTTAAAAAGGTTAATTTAAAAGACTTGAAGTTAACTGACCAATTTCAAATCGCTACATTTTAATATATTTTTATAAAAAATGGAGCAGTTTGAATTTGGTTAGTTAACTTCAAGTCTTTTAATTAACCTTTTTAAATAAAAAATTTTGAAAAGTAATATCTCCAAAACGAAGCAAAAAACCTTCGTAAGATTTTAATAGAAGGTAAAGAATATTATAAAAAATCTTTGTGCAAAACCTCAATTTTTTCGGAGCACCGACAAAAAAGTTATAAGTAAATAAAAATCTTGAGAATATTTAAATAAAATTTTTTTTAAAATCGTATATCATCCAAAAATAATAAATTTTTGCAATAATTCTTTCGTTCCTCTGTGCAGAATAAAGTGATTTATGTTTTTGGTGAGTTCCAACATTAAATTTTTAATAGTTTTTTAATAATAGCGTTTTTAAAAAAATTGAAAAATTTAAGGTTATAAAATCACATTGAGAACCTCTCCTACTTTTGATATTTAATATTTTTAAAGGGAATAAAATTTTTACCATAATATTATGGTTAATGAACTCAGGGAATCATCGAGTTTCACATATATTAAAACTAGATTTTTTTAAAATTTGGTCGCAACCACTATTAGACGAAAGTCAGTGGACTGACCCTATAGTAAGTATTTTTGAAAATTAAAAAAAACAAACGAATGTTATTGGAAAAACGTTATATTTATAGAATAACTGCTTGAAATTTTGTCATCCGTACTAAGAAAACGAAAAATAGTAAATATTTATTATTTACAAAATGTTACTTATTTTGAAACTTGACCAAACAATTGAAATAAACTATTCTTTACTCTATCGAAAATGTAGTGGACATTTTATATAATACCTAGGCAATGTGTATCCACTTTGCCGGTAACATATATATTTGTGAAAATTATCTGAATAATTATATATGAATTTTTTATTTTTTAATATTGGTGAAAAAAATAGAAATAAAAAAAACTGATTTTTATCATTTTAGACTTTTTTTGGGATATTTAGTCATTGCTGTCGAAAGTAATGTTGAGAATAATGTTACTGAAGTTTGTAAAACTAAAGAATGTTACGAATTAGGTAAGTTCATTATTTCAAGCTATAAACTAAATTTGTTTTTCAAATGTTTACCTCGCATTTGCATATCTTGTATGTATGTCCCGAGCAAAAATTTACCACAGGCGCAATGTTGCGCCAGTACTGGCAATTACTGGCAAAGTACTGACCGTCAATATTGAACCAATACTGGCATATGTTTGGGATGATAACGTTTATTAGTACTGGTCATTAGTAATGGCTCAGTACTGGTTCATTACTGGAATTTAACAGTGATTCTGTATTTTTCCAGTACGGGCAAAATTATAGTAATCAGTAATAAGCCAGCACTGGTAGATATTCAAAATTCAGGGTTCTTTTTGCTTTTTACATTAAATTGAGCAGCTGGATCGAAGAACCGACTCTTCGCTCGAACCGCACGCGCTCATACCATTAACTATTAATAATAATAAATTATTATAATAACTTTTAAATTGTTATTTTTTTATATTAACATTTTACTCTTTATTTTATTATTCAAATAATTTCTTCAAATATTATAAAATATATATTTATTTGTATTTCTTTAAATTACCGAAATTGAATGAAATTATTGGTTAAAATAGAGTTTATTTGATTCAAATATATTTTTGTCAGTGTAAGAAAAATAATTTGAAAACTTCATTAATTATGTATTTTTTTTTATTAAAAAGTTTTAATATAAAATTTAAATTTCATAATTCCATTAACGAACGCATTATACAGTAATCGAAAATAAGTATTAAAATAATTTTAAAAAAATATGTATGTAAATTTAATTTCTAACCAACAAAAATACACAATTTTCACGTCTATGCGCAGTAAAAATCCGGGCTCAAAATGATCCAGCCAGCAGGATCATTTTGATCAGCAGCAAAAATGAGTCAAATAGGTGGCGCCACGTTTTATGTCATTTAGCATTGATTCATTTTTGCTGCGGATCAAAATGAGCCCAGGTTTTTACTGTGTGAAGTTGGCGTCGACGCTCAACGTCGAAAATTATTTTTCACGGGACCAAAAATAACAAATCATTTTTAAAAAAGTTTTGGGTTCACATAATACCTTAAAAAGTATTTCTTAAGGCATTACATATTTGGACCGAAAATCTTTAAAAAAAAAAAATAATTTGACATTGTTTGCCAGTACTGTCTCAATAATATTGGCACAGTATTGGAAAATACTGGCATGCCGGTATTGGCTTGTAGTATTGGCACAAGACAGAATTTAATCCATATCAGTACTGAACCAATACTGGTAAGCCAACTGTCGTCCAACCAGTATTGATGCACGATTGCGCCTGTTGTCAATATCGGCATTTGACAGAAATTTTTGCTTGGGGTATTATTGTATTATAATAGTAATAATAAATTAATGTGATATTTAAGGGGTTACACCACTTTGACCCGACCAAAAAATATGCTTTTTCAACAATTTTTATTGAAGAATAGAAATTTTTTTGAGAAAATTAAAATACAGTAGGGTATTATACTACATACTCTTGAACTGCAAAAAAATATTTTTTTTTTTTTCAAAAATGTCGGTCTGACAGATGATATGGCGGAGTGCTTCAAAAATGTATTGCCGTGTGGTGGGCACTATAACTCGATCCAGATTTGAGCTAGATCAAAATAAAAAAACATTAGTTTCTGCAGCTCAAAATCTAACGAAATACGTATCCGTTTCACAGTTTTCCTAAAAGTATCAAATTGAGACCAAAAATTGCATCAAATCTTTGCAACGTTTTGATGCTCTCTAAATCTGAATTAGTCATTTTTGACTAATTCACAGTCATTTTTGACTAATTCAAATAGGGCGGATTCGTTTACTGTGAATTAGTCAAAAGTTACTAATTCAATCTGTAACTAATCTACCACTAAATGAATTAGAAGTTTCAGTAGATAAAGTAGGTAATGTAGACGTATTTATTTTGAAAATTGACAAAAATTATTGCTTAACAAATAGGAAACGATTATATTTTGTTTTTATATAGTTTAAATAACGTGAATCAATAAAAAAAATCTATTTATTTCATTTTCGAAATTATTCTGCGATAATTACTGGTGGGAGATGTCACTTAGGATTTGAACCTATTACCTTGCTTTCTACCTTAGGAGCTGCGCCTTGACGCGCTCAACCAAAGGAGGTTATGAAAATTCGTTACAAAATGTCTCTTATAAGCAAATTGATATAAACTCATTGTCAAATCGCTAATAAATAAGGTAAAGTCGATTTGTTTTCTATACAAATTTAATTATTATATAAATTTGTAATTAGAGTCTTATAAATGTGCCAATATTGATTTAAATTTGTTGATTAAATTAATTAACATTAACATAACAACAATAGTTTGGAGTGTTTTTTGGCCATCTATACAAACATTTGAAGAACTGAGTTTGAACACATTCAATTTGATCAAAATATCAATATCATCATTATTAATATTATATTACTAAATTAATTATATGTCAATTTTGATAAATATAACCTACAAAACCTAACTGTTATGTCTGGACATAAAGAAAAATAAATATTTTTTTCATAATTACTTGTGCATTTGTTAAATTGATTTTTCTTTGGTTGGAACAGAAAAATGTATAATAAATTAAAAAATTTTCAATTAAGCTATTTTTGCTTATTTTGATGTATGCACATATCATGATTAACAAATTAGAAGAAAATCTCTACAATTCATTTAGTCATTAAAAGTGACTATTTTTTTAGTAGAAAAAGCACTACTAATTAATTCAGTAATGAAAAGTGACTATTTTTTTAGTAGAAAGTGATGAAACAACTAATTCATTAGTAAAATATGGTGTTACTAATTCAATTAGTAAAATTTTGACTAATTCATATTTAGAGAGTGCACATAAGTTATATCAAAAAGAGATCGTTTTGTGTATCATTTTTATAAATGATACACGAAACGGTCTCATTTTTTGATGCAAAAGATGTAATCAATTTAAATCAATCATGGCCGAATTAAATCGACTCAAAATTAAACGAATTTTTTTCAGATATTTTGGTAATAGTACAATTGCGGAGACCATTTCACTATTTAATTTGAAAATGAAAATAACAGAAAATCAAAGACAATGTGCAATTCGATAATTAAAAAGTGACAGCTTATAAACATAACCTAAAATGCATGAGAAAAAATTTGTCGATAAAATCAATATAGCCGAGCTTTTTAGAAGGTAGATGGCAGCACTCATCTATTTTCTTTCTTTAAATTTTTTCTGAATCGTTTTTATAAAAAGCAAAACTGCCATCTACCTTCTAAAAAGCTCGGCTATATTGATTTTATCGACAAATTTTTTCTCATACATTTTAGGTTATGTTTATAAGCTGTCACTTTTTAATTATCGAATTGCACATTGTCTTTGATTTTCTGTTATTTTCATTTTCAAATTAAATAGTGAAATGGTCTCCGCAATTGTACTATTACCAAAATATCTGAAAAAAATTCGTATAATTTTGAGTCGATTCAATTCGGCCATGATTGATATAAATTGATTAAATTTTTTGCATCAAAAAATGAGACCGTTTCGTGTATCATTTCTAAAAATGATACACAAAACGATCTCTTTTTGATATAACTTATGTGCATCAAAACGTTGCAATAGAAAAAAAACAACCAAGTTTACTGTGAATTAAAAAAATGCCTTTTTTTGCAAAATGTCGAAAAGAAAAAAACTGAAAGGATCGATTGAAATTTGTGGCAGCTAGAGTGCCTACCGATTTTTCAAATGTAGTTTCGAGAAAAACGCGTTTAAAATTTTCTTAACTGTTTGGTTCTTTAAGGCCAGGTCCAAGTCGAGTCAGCTGTTCCTTTGAAGTTTCAATGGAACAGCTGATACGACTTGGACCTGGCCTTAAAAATTATTTCTAATCAACTATACGCCGGGTCCATATAGCATATCATTTCTATGCCTATAAGCAAAAAAAAAAAAAATATTTGTGATTTTTTTTAAATTTCAAAATGGTGTAACCCCTTAACTATACATAAAAATTATTGAAAAAAAAGATTGTTCAATTTTTAAAAAATATTTATTTGGTTATTTTTCAAGTTTAAAATTGTTTTTTTCTATAATATCTAAATATTAAAACTGACGAATATGTATGACATTTTTTTTTTTTTTAAATTAGTGCTTATTTAATATTCTTTTTTTATTTACACACAATTCTAATACATTATTAAAATGTGTTTTTATTACAATAATATTCGTGTTTTGCAGCGGAATTAATTAAAAAAGGAATGAATGATACAATAAATCCTTGCGATGACTTCTATTCCTATGTATGTGGTTCATGGCCGACTAATTATCCGGTTCCTGAAAACAAATCAAAGTGGAATTTTGATTCAATGGTTAAAGAAAAGATAAATATTATTTTAAAAGGTAATGTTTACATTGAAAAAACATTTTTTTTTTATGTATAATTCAAATAATCGGTTACTTGACTAGATTGTAAAAAAGAAGTCAACTCCCTAGGGGATGTTATAAAAGTCCCACTCTTTTGGAGTTAAAGCGAAGGGAGTTAATGCTTTACGAGTTAATTTTATGCCTAGGGAGTTAGTTTTAAGGAGTTAATTTAAATATAAACTCTCTTTCTGAGTTGATTTTTAACTCGAAAAATTTAACTCCCAGTGCTATTAACTCCCTAATTTTTTTACTGTGTATTGTCAAATAAATATTTACATTTGCATATAAAGTAATATAATTATAAGTAAATTAAATTATATTTGTTTATATAAAAATACAGAAATTATTATAAAAAATACAGTTTATTATTGATTTGAATAAAAATTTTTTGGTTTAAATAAATATTTATTTGATAATTTAGTAACCGATTATTTTTTAATCACTTTTTTTCATTGCAGTATATTTTGTAAAAAAAATTAATGATTTTAATAATATTATTGTATATTATAAATATATATATGTAAATATATTCGATATATAAATGACTATCCTCAAAATGAAGCTTGAGATATATACTTTCAATACCAAAAAAACGACATTTTATTTTTTTTTGGTATTGAAAGTATATATATTAAGCTTCATTTTGAGGGTGAAAAAAGGCCCTTTATTAAAAAAAAGTCATTTTTGATTATCAAAAAAAAGAGGTAAATTTGGAATTTTTTAAAAAGATTTTTTCATCATTCGAAAGAGCACGAAAAAACTTTTCGAAATCATATAGGTCAAACATTTTTTCATCATTTTATACAATAGTTATGATTTTTCAAAAAATGCAATGCTCACATTTTAGCAATTGGATCACAAGTATACAATTATTTTCTAAATTATGTAGAATACAAAAAAAATATTTTATTATTATCTATAACTTGAACTATATATAATTTTTTTCATTCTTATTTTTGCTGTTTTTTTTTTTAGAAATTTTACAAGAGCAACCAAGGCCTCAGGATAATGTGCCATTAACATTAGAGAAGAAATGGTTCAAGTCATGCATGGATGAAGGTAATAACTTTTTTTCATTTAACACATTAAATTCTTACTTATATATATAAATTTATATAGCTGATGATACAAAACTTTATTTGTTCTAATATTAAATCATTCGTTTTCTGTTGATATAATTTTTGAAGTAGTTTTTTTTTTATTTATGAACCTTAGTCATAGAATAGTTTTTATATCTACAATAAAACACTAAACTGATAAAAATTTTCCTTTTTTCGGCAACAGAACATTTTGTTTATATTAATATTTCCAACCAAACTTTTTAAGTTGAACCAAAAAAAAAAGTTTTTCGGTCTCAATCAAGCTTTTGCTTAATTGATAATTTAATTAAAAAAAATTTAATTACACTTCAAATAGAATTCAAAAATAGTTAATTTTTGATAATTAATAATTTCTAATTGGTCAATTTTAAAAATTGCGCCGAAATGTTTCTGGCGATTGTTTGTTTGGATATTAAAAAATTCGTACAAATAAAAATTCGTTGAATTGGAATTTCTGTCAATATTTACACTAAACAGCATATTATTTAAAATTAAAAATTATCGATGGGTATAATAGCCCCTGGGATGGTATAATTACCTTGTTTAATGGTAATAAATATTTAAAATGTAAAAATATAAATTTCAATTTATTTCAGATAGCATTAACAAAAAGGGTTTGGAACCATTGAAGAATATTATAGAAAAAATAGGTGGTTGGCCAATGACAATGAATACAAGTGTATGGGAAAAAAAAGAAATCACTTGGCAAAATGTTTCACAATATTATGCGAATATTGTTGGTGCATATAGTTTATTTAATATTGGCGTTCAACCCGATGCAGAAAATTCTACAGTTCAAATTATCGCGGTAAGAAGTAATAATATTCATTCCCCTCTTTCTACCTTCCGCCCTCGCACCCTTTTTTAAAAAAAATTTCATTTTCCTTTAATTATGGAACAATGAAATAATACATTGTGCAACGAGAGCGGAAAGAAGTCGTTTTCTAACGAGTTTGTCAATCAATCTCGTCGGAAAATGCTACTTTCCGCTCGAGTTGCACACAGTGCTTTGTGCAATATCTGCAAGATAAAAGCTATTTTATATGCTGTTTTAAAGAATAAATTTAAGGTTATGTTTTCTAATATGCCTGAAAATGTGTACATTCCTGCACACATTTTACTATTTTCTGCACACTTTATCAGAATGCAGAAATCATATACTTTGTGCTGCATTTACATTAAAGTAAAGTAGCGCTTTTATTTTGCAGGTGTTGCATAAATAAAATTTCTTATTATCGTGAAACAATAATAATAATTATATAATATTATATTAAATATAAAATTGTAGATTGATCAATCCAGTGAATATCTGATTGAAACGCCAACACTCCGTGATAAAAAAAATAGTTATTATAAAAAATTTATTTCATATTGTGCAAATAATAAAGACGTTGTTGATATTAATGCTAATGATAAAGAAGATGATAATCCTGCAGTAAAACATATAAGACTTATATCCAGACTTATAAGTAAAATAGCTCATGATTATTCAGCATTAGTAGGAGGAAGTGAAAAAAATATCGAGACTGACGTTTCCGATTTATTAGTGTTTAAAGCATCATTGATAGAGGTAATATTGTGTTGAAAATATAATTATCAATACAAAATTATTTTGACGAATTATATAGAATTAGCATATCTTAATTTTAAATAAACATTCTTATTAGATACAAACTGCTCCGAATAAAAAAGACGATATGGAATTAGGAAATAATAAAATGAGTATTAGTGATTTTCAAAAATATTATAATCGTAAGAAGCCAAGGACAACAACTGCAAAGGTAAAAAAAATATAATTATTTCTTTATTATTAGGGATATTTATATTCAATGTGTTTAAAAATTAATGAAATAGTCAAATATCTCGAAAAGTATGCAGTTCGCAAGAATGTAATACACATGATTAAAATATTAGGACCCAACCCAGAATATTGGTCCCAAACTGTTTCTGCAATTAAGTAAATTTGCAAAAATCATTACTTGGATTTTTTTTAATCAAATTTATTTAATTGTAGAAAAAGTTCGGACCCAATATCATGGATAAGGCCCAATATTTTGGTCATGTGTATTACATGTCTGAAAGCAGAATTTTAGCGGGATTACGAATTTGATATTCAGAATAACTTGTTTTTTTTTTATCATTTGTCAAGAAAATGCAAACTTTTTGAGATATTTGACAGTTTCTCTATACTTTATTCAACATCCCATATAACAAGATAACATTTTTAGGATTTTTATAAATATTCTATTTCTATTGTTGTTATTAATCATTTGAAATATATTGTGTTTAGATTAATTGGCTCGAAATGATACAAGCGTTATTCAAGGATACTGATGTTGTCATTGATGAATCAGAAAAAATAGCTTTACTCGATAAACCTTATATTGATAAATTAGTTCGCCTTTTAAAGAGAACACCTCAAAAAACCATTGGTACGAATTATCAATAAAAAAAAAAGAAAGGAAATATTTTTTTCTTCTTGAATTAAATAATATAAAATGTTATAATTTTAAAACAATATACTGATATTCAGGAACGTGTGTGATCAATAATTTTTAATGAAAAATTTTTTTAAATTAAAAATTCTCAAAGATTTTTTTTTCAATGTTTATTGATCGAGAAATTATAAAAAATATTTCTTTAGATAAAAATTTTGAAGATTTTCCATCTTAAATAAAAATTTTGTTTCCTAATTGTTGATCATAAATTTAGTGGACTTCAGGCATTGTGTATTTTAGAAGATATATAATTTTTTTCAGTCAATTATATTCATTGGAGTTTTATAAGCGATGTCCTTAAATATTTGGACAAAACAACAAGACAATCGTATGCCGAGACTGTTAATAGTACTATGGGAATCACCAATGAATCAGAAAGGTAAGATATTTTCATTTATAATACTCAAACTCAAATTACATTATGTATTTTTCGGAGAACAGCGAGATTCCTTGTACCCTAATCTATGATCCCTCAAAATTTTAGAAAAAAATTTTTTTTTATTTTAGAGTAAGATGTATACTACCAAAACACATTTTCCCATACTAGGTCACGTGGGAGGTTCCCACATACCCTTAAATTCAGTATATATTCTTATTTTAAGAATAATATATATACTGAATTTAAGTATAAAATATTCTTAAATATGCGCCACGAATATATTCTTAATTTCAGTTTATGTTTTTTTCTGTGTAGTTTTATTAATTAGTTATAAATTTAAATTTTTTTTAATTTTAAGGTGGAAATATTGTTTACGTAATATGCCATTGAAAGATGGAATGTCTATTGAATTCATCAAAAGTCAATTTCCTAATGTGACAAAACAAACTGTAAGTTGTATTTTTTATAATTTTTATAATTAAATTTTTTATTACTAGAAAAAATTATTTATTTATAAAATAACTTTTTTAAATAGCGGATCTAATACGGTAGACAAATGTAAATTCATTAGATTTACTTAAAACTTTTTTCTCAGGGCTTTTAACGGTTACTAAAATTACATCATCGGATTATACAAATTGAATGTTGGTTTTTCAAAATTCAATATGACGAATCCAATTAATTGATCTGATTCGCTTAAAACTCATTACTCGAGGGTTCTTTGGTTCACTAATTAAAAATTCAATATCAGATTTGTAATCAGTGACACTGAAAACCTTTGAGTAATAAGTTTCAAGCAAATCTGATGAACTTAAAAAAATCCGTTATTTTGAATTTTGTCAATTTAACGTCAGATTCGTAATCAGCGACCATGAAAATCCCTGAACTTAGATTTTCGTAATAAATTAAAAATTCAAGAAATAATAATAACTTTTAAAATTTATATAATAACAGAAGTGTCATAAGTATAGTGAAATTATTAAATTCTTATTACTATAGGCAAAAGATATGGCCGAAGAAATCCGAAAGGAAATTGATGTAGAAATTTCCCTCGCTAATTGGATGAATAGTGAAACTAAATCCCTGGCAAGGAATAAACTCAAATTAATGGAAGTTCTTATTGGTTATCCGGAATGGTATTCATCGTCAACTAATTTAAGCGAGTCGTATGATGGGGTAAGAAATTTATTAAATCAAAAGAATTTCTTTGTTTTCTATAAATTGATACTTGAAACTTGGTTTTAATTTTGTTGCAACTCATTTTAAATGGAGTGTATCAAAATGAATAATGAGGCTGAAGTCAGCAACGTATTCAAAAACGAAAAATTAAAATAGAATTATTTTTTCAAGACAATTTATTTTTAATTTTGATTCACACAAACTTTCAAGAAATTAATACTTTTACAGTAACCCCCAAATAACTTTAATTTTAAGCCAAATTAATAATCGTCTCATTTTTTTCGTTTTCATTTATAAAAACGTTGCGGACTCCAACATCATAAATGAATCAAAGTTTTTTTTTAATATAGGTACCTAATACAGTAGAAAATAACTACACAAATTTTTTTTCTGCAGCTTGAATTTGGTTCGGATTATTTTGAAAATGCAATTAATTATTTAAAATTTGTAACACGCAATACAGCCAAAGAATTTAGAGAACCATTCGACAAAGATCAGTAAGACATTTTTATTAATTAATATATTAATTTTATAACTAATTGTTAAATAATCTAATCTAAAACAAGCTTATACCGAAGTCCCCTAGTACGAATGTTGGTACTTAAGTCGCAAGACCCATTGCACCTAACCCCGGCAAGCTCAAACTTAGTCTCTCTCCCTAGAGTCCTGTCCTATTCTAAAAGTCCAGTAACTCTTCTACCGAGAGGTCGCGAATTCTATCTGGGTCTACAAAGGCATGACCCCAGCATTGATGTCTCACTGCAGCGTAAGCTGGACAGTGACATAAAATATGAGTCGAAGATTCCTCTTCTGCGTCATACAATCTGCATCTAGGTGAGACGTTTCTACCTATTTTGTGCTGATGATAATTCAGGAGGCCATGTCCTGTGAGAAGCCTGACCACTGCTCTAACTCTGATCTTGTTGAGTTTTAGAAGGGACTCGGCAAAGCCCCTGTTGAGTTTTAATCCCAACAGAGCCTTGGCCTGTCTACCTACAGTAGTCTTAGCCCACTCTCTCTCATAACATCCCCTAGACCATCTTTCAATGGGCCCTTTCACCGCACCTGGCATAATGCCTACCGCCGGTTCCGGGTCTATCATAGTCATCTCAGACCCTCTACGGGCTAAGATATCCGCTTCCTTATTTCCTCTGATTCCCGAGTGTCATGGTACCCAGATTAATGAGAGCTTATTTTTCAAATCTAGCTCGTCCAATATCTTCCGACATTCCCAAGCTAGTTTTGACTCTATAGTAGGATTACTCAAGGCGTTTAAAGCCGCCTGACTATATCGACACAGATATTAATTCTCTTGCCAGATTTTCATTTTTCAAGACAAATCATTGCGCAAGTCATTACAGCGCAGACCTCTGCCTGCCAGACCGTAGTGTAATTACCTAAAGATAATGTCACTTTAGTTGCATTGGACTTACAGTATACACCCAAACCTGTGCCTCTTTCTATCTTGGATCCATCCGTAAACCATACTTCACCTCCAAGTGGACAGTCCTTTCCCAATCTTTTCTCAAAGGAATAATGGTCTTAAAGCGAGGTTTGAATTTCTCTCTTTTGACCATTCTATCCTGTCCCATATTGATTCCTGGGATCTTCAGTATAGAGGCCGGGAGTTTTGTGTGTTTTCCCCTAGCTCTCCATTTCCCCTGTGCTTGAAGTTTGGTCATTGTGAGAGCAGCCTTCTTAACCGTTAAAATGTGTAGAGGTTCCTCCGCCAGTAAGAAACCTAACGCAGAAGTTGTCGTGGTTCTCATTGCGCCAGTAATCCCTCTAAACACCATTGCTTGCAGTTGTTCAAGTTTTAATTTCACCGTTTTCAACTGGCTTCTAATCCACCAAACAACTGCTGCATGCAGAAACCTTGGCAATAGGACCATACGATAGAGCCACTGAACCATATCCGGTTTTAGACCCCAAGATGATCCAATAGTCCTTCTACAAACCCAAAAAGTAGTGCAAAACCTAGTATATTGATACTCTAAGTGCTTTCTCCAGATCAGCTTCTTATCCAGAATCACTCCCAGATATTTGACCGAATCGGAAAAAGTCACTTTTCTCCCATAAAATACAGGTTTTCTCACAGTGGGAACCTTGTATTTCCTAGTAAAGATAACAATATCCTTCTTGTCTGGATTAACAGAGAGGTCAGTTCGTTCACACCATCTCTTAACGATTCCTAATGCCCTCTCTGTCAATTCTAAGAGTGTATCTAACGAGAGACCTCTTACAATAATCAGGAAGTCGTCCGCATAGCTTTGCGTATAAAATCCCTGTCCGTTTAGTTCTACTAATAACTCATCTGCAACTAAGCTCCACAATAGAGGAGATAAAACCCCGCCTTGTAGGCAACCATAGGAAACTAGGCCATTTATTTTGGCCTCTCCATACTCTGCTTTCGGGGCTCTATTATGGAGCATACCTTTAATCCAGCTAATCAATGGATCTGGTATGCCACATCTTTTAGCCGCATTGCATATTGCTTGACTACAGGTGTTAGGGAAAGCACCTTCTATATCTAGAATAGTGCCTACCGCATAACCCCCCGAGTCTATCTCTTCCTCTATTCTGCTAATTGCTGAATGAAGGGCTGTTTCTATAGAACAGCCTGCTCTATACGCGTGCTGCCCTGGATGTAAAGATTGATTTATCAGACATTCCTGCTTGATAAAAGTATTTATCAGTTTCTCCAACGTCTTAAGGATGAAGGAGGTTAAACTGATCGGGATGAAGTCTTTGGCACGCCCAGCGTTCGGAATAAACACTACTCAGGTCATTTTCCATGCCTCAGGAGTGTAGCCTAAAGCTATACTTGCTTTCATGATTTTAACCAAGGGTATACGAACATACCGCAGTCCCTTTTGTACGAGAATCGGGTATATGCCGTCTCCTCCTGGTGCCTTGAATGGCTTAAACAGGCATAAAGCCCAATCAATCTTTTACGGAGTCACAATGTCGGATGAAAGTTTCCAGTGTTCTAGTCCAGGACGAGATTCACGTGGATACCGATCCCCATTGCTCCGCTCTGATTCTCTGAAGTCTGGGAAATTAATTCCCACAAGATGCCTCAGACACTCAGCTCTAACACGGGCGAAACATCCGTTAGGTAGCTTAATGAAGATAGCTTAGCTGTAGCATCTCTGGCTAGAATTTTATGAAGTTTAGATGCTTCTAGTATCTTCTAAATACCTTCGCAAAAGCTCCTTCAGCCGGATGCTCGAGCCTTGTCTATCTCTTTTTTATAGGAATTACGAGCGTTATAGTACAATGCCCATGCCTGTTGATTCCTACTTTTCTTTGCTTTATGCAGCTACTTTCTCACCTTAACCCTAAAACTTTCCAACTCAGCATTCCACCAAGTAGTTTTCCTGCTAGTTTCAAGTCTTTTTGGGTTACAGTTTCTCTCAAAAGCGGAAATAATTGAATTCTGCAGAAAATTTGCTGCAAGTTCCAACTCCTCTTCTGTACCATAACTAGTAGGAAAGCATTCCATGGAGTCCCTAAGGTCTTCACAATATGAAGACCAATTGTTAAATAAATAAATAAATGAATAAATAAAACTTTATATTAGCATACATACTTATGTAATTAGATTAGTTAATTTAATTTTATAGCACAATTTATATATAAAATGTTCCATGCCAAACCAACATATATCGTCGACTTTGATCTCTTTCATTTGGCTCAAATTTTTTTAACGTTTTGTACCCCTAAAACACACATTTTGAAAAAATTTGAGCCAAATCGTAGAGGTCAAAGTCGACGATATGTTGGTTTGGCATTGAACCCCTTACATTATAACTTCTATATAATTTTACAGATGGCTTATGTCACCAATTACGCCAAATTCTTACTATCTTCCACCAACGAATACTTTGAGTAAGTAAAACAAAAAGTTTCGTTTTTTAATTACGTAAAAAGACATTTTTATAAAGATAATTAAACAAATTTTGTACAATATTTGAAAATTGAAGTAATTTATATTTTCTTAATAATAATTATTTATTTTAAGGCATTCCAGCTGCACAGCTTTTGATTCCCCTATTTCATGAAAATATACCATTGTAAGTATTTTATATATACTAATATAATATTTTGATTAATATCATTATAATTTTGGGCGAAAACTAGCAAAAAATTTTAGCCAAGATATATCAAAAACATTTTAGCCACATGACTTACACTAAATTAAATTTTTCCAACTCCAGCCCAAAGGTGAAAGTTCTGGGATTGGCTTGCTACTTTGAAAAATTGTTGTCCTATATGAAAGTAATAAATCCCAAAACATTTGTTGAACCTTTGGCTAAAATTTTTGTCTATGATTTCCTAGTTTTCGCCCAAAGTTTGATACTAAGTTTTTACATTTTATGCATTATTTTTCTGTTTATTTAAACAGTGCGTTAAATTATGGATCTGTGGGTTTCATTATTGGTCACGAAATGTCACATGGATTTGATAACATTGGTAATTTGATATAATATATAATATTACTTGCTTCTAATTATATTAATATTAATTATTATATTTATTTTAAATTTAAATAATAATATAAATATTAGGTCGTCAGTTTGATGGAAATGGAAATGTCATTTCTTGGTGGTCAGACGAAATGATTCGTGAATATAAGAAGAAGGCTAAATGTTTTGTGGACCAATTTAATAATTATAAAGTAATTCAAACTTAATAATTAATTACTTTTTCAAACAATTCTTATAGTAGAATATTAGATATATGTAATGTATATATTTTTTTCTTTAATTAGGTAGATGGAAAACTAACTCAAAGTGAAAATATTGCTGATACAGCAGGATTGATTGCAGCTTTTGGGGCTTACAAGGAAAAAATGAATAAAACCAACATTAAAGAACAAAGTTTACCAGGATTAGAAAACTTGGATTCCAATCAATTATTTTTTGTTTCTTTCAGTGTGGTGAGTATTGAGTTTACGTTATTTTATTAATATAGGTAAATTGGTTATTTAAAACTGTCACAAATCCAAATCACACTATGACTATTGGAGGGACGCATGAATAAGATCTAAAACAAATTTGTTAGAAGTTACCTTTGATAGAATTTTAATCAGCAGAATATTAATTTGACAGAAAGTCAATATTATTGAATTTTAATTGGGCAGAAAATCAATTTGATCGAATTTTAATTTCACAGAAATTCAATTTGGTCGAATTTTAAATTGACAGAAATTAAATTTCATCGAATTTAAATTTTCCCGAAACGTTGTTTTATAGAATACTAATAGTGCAGAAAAACAATTTGACAGAAATCTACATAACCAGAATGTATATTTGTTCGAATATTAATTTCCCAGAACGATAATTTGACCGAAAATTAATTTGGCAGAAAATCAATTTAATCGAAATTTATATTGTGCAAAACGTTTTCTCATAGAATTTTAATTTAGCAGAAAGGTAATTTAATAGAATCCTAATATAGCAGAATCAAAATTTGACAGAAATTTACTTTACCAGAAAGTATATTTGTACGAACATTAATTTGCCAGAAACTCAATTTCACCGAAAATCAATTTCACCGAAATAATCAATTTCTTCATAATTTCCTATTGGTTAATTTTAAAATTAGCGCCGAAATATTTCGGTCAAATTGATTTTCGGTGAAATTGAGTTTCTGGCAAATTAATGTTCGTACAAATATACTTTCTGGTAAAGTAAATTTCTGTCAAATTTTGATTCTGCTATATTAGGATTCTATTAAATTACCTTTCTGCTAAATTAAAATTCTATGAGAAAACGTTTTGCACAATATAAATTTCGATTAAATTGATTTTCTGCCAAATTAAAATTCAATGAAATTGACTTTCTGGCAAATTAAAATTTGATCAAATTGGAATTCTGCCAAATTAATTTTCGGTCAAATTATCTTTCTGGGAAATTAATATTGGAACAAATATACATTCTGGTTAAGTAGATTTCTGTCAAATTGTTTTTCTGCACTATTAGTATTCTATAAAACAACGTTTCGGGAAAATTTAAATTCGGTGAAATTTAATTTCTGGCAAATTAAAATTCGACCAAATTGAATTTCTGTGAAATTAAAATTCGATCAAATTAATTTTCTGCCCAATTAAAATTCAATAATATTGACTTTCTGTCAAATTAATATTCTGCTGATTAAAATTCTATCAAATGTAACTTCTAACAAATTTGTTTTAGATCTTATTCATGCGTCCCCTATTGGACCTTAAAAGGCTCATTTAGGGTCAAATTAAAATTGGGTCATTTACCTTAATTTACTAAAACCTATGTTTCTATTTTTTGAAATCAAGGAACACCAATATGAGGAAAATATTTTTTTTGTGTTTTATATTGTTTATAAGAATTTAAATACTGCTAATTTCCAATAATGTTTTATAAATTACGTTCCAATAAAATCAATTCAGATTAGATCGAAATTTGATGTTGGTTATTAAAAATTCAAAATGGCAGACAATTTATGTACAATATGGCCTCCTCATGGCTTGCTTTAGTCACAGTAAACTATCAAAGAGCAATTTTTTGGTTTTTGTCTCCTGTATTGAATCCGTCATTTTAAATTTTCAAAATCTAACTTCAGATTCGTAATTATCGATAATTATAATAATTTACTTTTTTTTATTATTAATTAATTGCGTCCTCATGGAGGCAGTATTATAATACTAAAATTAGACGAATTCGATTTTTTGATGTATCTTTATGTTTTTCGACCTCAAGAATTAAGAAATCACATTTTTAAAAAATGTCGTTCCGTATATCTCGAATAGGTATTATAAGAGTTAAAGGGATAATTTTTTTAAAATTATAAATCTCACCTATAGTATTAAATTAACCTTAAATGAGCCCTTAGAGTCAAACTACGTCAACTGTGAGTAAAAATTTTGTAGATTTTTGGAAAAATAAAAGCAATTATGAAAATCTGTAGCTGACAACGAACAAATAAATACTTGAAACCGTTTTTCGGTTATTTGTTATTATAAAAATTTAAAATTTTGAAAAATGGTTTAAAATGTTTTTTTGGTTTGTTGTGAGCTACAGATTTTTATAATTGCTTTAATTTTTTCAAAAATCTCTACAAAATTTTTACTTACGGTTGACGTGGTTTGACTCATAAATATGTTCCAATAATATATAATATGTCTGATAGTCATTGCTTGATTCAGATTTACATATAACTTAAAATTTTAATTTGTTTAATATAGGGATTTTGTCAGAGTGAAGCACCAAATTTATTATCGAAAGTTGAAACCGATGTACATACAAAATCATCCGTTAGAATAAATGGAGCCGTGGCAAATGTAGAAGGATTTAGTGAAGCATTTAAATGTCAAAAAGAACCAATGTGTTCACTATGGAGTTGATTAGACTCAATTTTATCATCATCGTGTAGTTTATAAATGAAAATTATAAAAAATATTAGCTAATTTTTACAACGTCAAATCAAAGTTCTAGGAAATAAATTTTTTTTTACTTAATTTATAATTGAGGCTCCGGATCTTAAAAAAGCACACGCGCATGTATCCTTTTAAGATCCGGAGCCTCAATCGTATAATAATAATAATAATAATAATCTGCGATTATGTCACACTCTTTTATAGTTTTTATCTGCTTATTTTTGGAAATTTTGTTTTTTTATTCTTATCTTGAATTAGTAAATTTTTTACACTGAATCAGATGCAAAAATACGTTTCAGTTTATAATTATACATATATATGTATATTAAACCTTAAGCTGTTTAACAAGCAACTCTTTTTCTCACAAGTATTAAGAAGTCTCAGTAGTTAGTGTATATAAGAAAACAAAAATGTATATTATATAATTAATAAAAATATTATGTTTTACACAAAAGAAAAAAAAATCTATTTTTATTTCCCGATCTAATTCTCATTCCATTGTTCCTCATGATAACATAATCGGTTACTGTATATTAACTGTTTAAACTATGTATTTTTCACAAAAGACCTTGAAATCCATTTATAAATTACAAATTTTTTTTATTTAATTTAAAATAAATGAGCCCACCAAAGAAAATAATTAATTTATTGCACTATTTATAATAATAAAGACTATTGCACAATGAATGTATGATAATATATACCTAATACAATAAATTAGTGACAATATTTTATTACATTTTTTCATATAAATAAAAGTTAAAAAAATTATTAATTCATTTTAAAAATATATTTTTTATTATTATTAATAAAAACTTTGTGTTCAAATCGCAAATATATACATTTTTACTTGGCTTATTTTATGCATGATGATTAAATAGTAAATATTTTTTAAGAATGTTGCCTTGTATTTAAATAAAGAGTTAAACTATATACAAAAAATTTACAATATTTATTCACGTTTTGTATCCTGTAAACGATATACTGCTAAAAGATTATCAAAGTGATCCATTTATCACATCACTTCTTCTTCTTGCGTTAAATGATAACAAACATCTGCATATATTTAACAGACGTAGAAAGTCGAGTAAAAATAAATTTAAAAAAATACTATTTGCGTTAGTTTGCCATAAATATTTATCTATACATTTTTAAGTTAAATTTTGCATTAAGAAATATTTGATTTTTAAATTACAAAATATTTACATACCGTCAACCGGGGTTATTATACCCACAAAAACGCTACTTTTTCATTCAGTGTTTCACAAAAATTTCAGAATTAAAAAAAAATTGTAACTTTAAGTTAAAATTTTGTTTATATTTATAAAATATCCTAAACATTTTTTTATACAGCTTTAGCTATTATGATATGTTATTTTCTCTAGATAGTCTAGATTTCCGTGTGGAAAAGTCGACTGGGCCCCAATCTGGGCCGCAGACTGGGTTTCCCAATGTCCAAAGTGGGTAACCCAGACAATGTTCAAACTGGGCGCGTAACGCTGATCCCAAAAATTTCCCAAGGTTGAGAAATCCCAGCTGGGGCCAGATTGAGTTATTCCATTATTATTTATAATTGTTAATTAATAATTATATAAATAATTTAACAACAAAATAGTAAATTAAATATAAATATAATTAACTAGTTTTATTATTTCTCATTTTTTCTCAAGTTTTTTATTTATTTATAACAGAATATTAAATTAAGTTTCACTTTGGGAATACTTTGGGAAATCCCAGTTGGGGCCACCCAGGTCAAACGATTCTACGGAAATCACTCCACGGAATTAAGCAAAATTTTGAAAGTATTCCTTTCGTAATTTTGCGAATTTTTTTGGAAGAATTCCATACAGAATTGCACAAAATTTTCAATAAAATTCCACAACTTTATTTTTTGCTGATTTTTTTGTGATTTTAAAATAACTGCTGCTACTATAACTATATTTGATTCTATACCTTTGAGCATGCATTTAGAGGTCATTTTTCTCGTTAAAAGTGTTCGGTTGACACCTTGATTCCTGTACATCAGATAATAACGTAAATTCTATTTTATACACTGTAAAAAGACTAGTAGATTTTACTACTTGTTAACAACCTTGCGTTATTCAATACGTCCTCAACGAAATTTAAAAAGTTGTATTGACTTCCAAAAAGTAGTTAAAAGAACTAAGAATTTAGTTGGGTCAAGGAGATTTTGTAATTGTTCTAATTTTTGAAGTTGATTTAACTACTTTTGTTAAGTACAATTAACTACTAATTCTTAACTCCATAAAAAAGAGTTAAATTGACTACACGCACATAGTTAAAATGACCAAAAAAGTAGTTACTTTTACTACTTTCAAGTCAGTTAACTAAAGGCAGTTGAGGATTTCGGCTAAATTTTTTTCAGTGTACAATTGTGAAATTCTAACAAAAATTTTGTGTAACTCTGTATAGAGATTATGTGTGTAATTCTTATAAAAAATTCGCAAAATTACAAAAGAGCTTCTTTCAAAAATTTTGCGGAATTCCGTATATAATTTTTACGGAATTCCGTGTGGAATTTCCGTACGGAATTTTCGTGGAGTAGTTTCCGTAGAATCGTTTCACCTGGGCAGATTGGGTTGTATATTTGTTCAGCATATTATTTAAATAATAATTTAATTAACTTCATTCTTTTATTCCTTCATTTTTCAAACTTTGCGGGAAGCCAAGCTAGGCCCAGATTGGCGCCCAGTCTCACTATGGGCGACTTTGGAAAGATTTCCACACGGGTTACAATAAAAAAATAGAAAATTAAAAAAAAAATTTTGTAACATTTGTTAAACAAATTTGAAATTTTACTAAAATCTATATTATTATTAAAAAAGGTAAAGTTTTTTTAGGTTAATTAAACAACTCAATATAATTTCTAACAAACATCGATATATTTCACTAAAACAGCAAAAGTTTTTGCTATTCTAGAGAAACATATCGCTGTTCCAGATAACTTGAAAATTCGTTATTAATAAATTTTTTTTCTTAAATTTAACAGTGACAGGAAGATTTTTGTGAAGTTCCTTAAAATATTAAATTTATGTTTATCTCCATTTTTTTGAAAAATGGATTTATCTGTTTTTGAAAATTTCCTCTTTAATTACACGTGTAATTTATACTTTGAATTTAAAAACAATTTTTCTCAATGAACTCCACGTGTACGCACGTGTATTTTATATACCTACTTTAAATTTAAAAATCATTTTTCTCAATGACCTCCACGTTTATTTAATACTTTTTGATATTTTTTCGAAAATTTTAAAATTATTGCACTTGTAAAAAACGTTTTAAAACTTGAAAAATATTTAAGTATCGTGATTATATACATGGAGTTTTGGCGAGAAAATTAATTTTTAAATCAAATTATGAATTACACGTGTAGTTCATTGCAAAAATGATTTTTATATTCGCAAAGTATAAATTACATGTGGCCAAATCTACACGTGTACTATTTCACTAGGGGAGTTATTCAAATGTTGTTATTATAAAATAAATAGATTTAAAAATGACAAGCCCATAAACTTGAGAAAATGTTGAAGATAAAGAAGTTCAAATTATTGAAACAAGTGTTTTCCTGTAATTTTCAATATTTATTACTTGAACCATTAATTTTATTAACTATTTTACATGCCACAAAAGTTTTATGATAATTAGCACAATTTTCAATTGTATGATACGCGATTAATAATTAATCGATTAATTAATTCACTTAGTTTTAAAGTAATTAAGTGAATAATTTAAAATTCAATTTTCAAAAATGTCAAATATCATGTATCGGTAAAGAGAATGCGACTAAAAAAAATGGTATTTATCAGTTTTTTTGTGTTTTTAATGATCGATATCTTATTTATAATATATAGAATTCAATATTGAATTATGTTTTTTACATTTAAAGTCTTATAATTAATACAAAATATTGACACCTGTTTAAACAATATAAACTATACTAAGTATCGTTTATATATTATATGTATACCACTGAGTATAAAATAGTCAAAAACAAACTACATTCTAATAATGTTTCTAAATCTCTAACTAATCAGTATATTGAATTTGAATAATTTTTGTCTCAAAGATTTCATTAACCAATCGACATTATAATTTATAAAATACAAATTTTACAAACAAATTTCGATCCAAGTTTTATAGTTATTAATCATAAAGTACACAGGTAATGATTTTTTCGTGTAATAATTTATAAACGCTAATGAATAAATAATTATTAACCAAAAAATATTGTCATGGAGATCAAGCAATAAAATTAACTCGTTACATCGTATATACAATAAGAAAAATAAGAATGCAGTTGTGTTAATTGTTAATTTGATATAAATATTTTAGAAACTTTTCTTTTAATTTCAATAACATGAATATTATATTTTCAGACAAATCTGATTGAAATCAATCACTAAGCCAAAACTTTTTTTTTTTTTGGAAAGGACACTACAAAAGTTAGAGGATTTTTAAAAATTAATATACGACACAATTTAAATTTATTTGGCTAATTTTCAAAATTACAACTGACAAAATGAATGAAACTAGTCTTTTCATGTACTCGGCACAAACTTTTCAATTTTTGTCTATATTAACTTACATTAACAAACTAAGCGATATATTTTACAGTCAAGATCTATTAGAATCAAACAATCAATTTCAACACTTTGCAATCATTAATGCATACTTTGAGCATCTCAACAGAACGAGCAACGAGGCAGACGCGAAAAGGCATCTCGTCCTAAAACTACTCCAAGGATCTGATCTGTACGGTGGGCATGAAAATGAAACACTTGACATAGAATATGTCGATGCAACTTTTCATTATATTATAAGTAACATTATATTTGCGGACTATGGAAATGTCTATGGTTACTTGGCAAAAATCGTCAACTTGTCAAATAATTTGACACTCTCGTTCCTCAAAGAAAATATCCTCAAGGATCTAATGAGTCTTGAGTTTTTGACTCCAAACGGAACGCTTTCAAAACTCAGTCTTCTGTCATCAGTTAGAATCAGAGACGACTTTCTTTTGTCTTTTTTCCCTCAACCAGAAAAGGACATGAACATAACTGACATTGATTATATTTATGCACAAGCTGGTTTAATATTTGCTCACTCGGGGAAAATTAACACAACTAACGTGACTTTCAATGATTTAATCGTACTATCGCAGACATTAGAATTGGCAGTCCTACAGAACATAACAAATCAATCTGCATTGACAATTTTTACTCTTCCAGCTCTTCTCTTTAATGCAGGTAACGAAGCAAAGAAATTTAATCAACAATATGTCGCGGACTGTGTTCAGAATGAAAATTTCTTGACAGAAACGCTAAATAGTTTATTCTCATACTTAAATGAAACCTTTCTGACAATTAATCGGGAGGCATACGAGAGCAGTCCATTTTATCAATTCAGTATTACCATGTCAAAGTTCAAAAGTCGTACTGTTCTTGCAGAAGATTTTTTACGTCAACAATGTAATTTGAAAAATGAAAGTGAATACGAATCAGCAATTGACAAATATAAGTTATTCGCATCGAGCAGTGAGTGCCCCAATAATGAAAGTATATTATTGCCAAATGTAGATCAAGTTTACCAAAATCAGATTGACGTGCTTCAAGAGAAATATCACTCTTTTATGGAGATTTTTCTGCAGCAAGTGTTTTATGAAGCAAAATTAGTGGACTTGATTAATTCAACAAAAACCACTGTTTACGAAAGTCAGACAGTTCCAATTCAGACTTCATGTTTTCCAGTTCCTTGTCCACCGTATCAACCACGTCTAAATCCAAATATTTATTTATTTGCCTTGAGAACATCGGATGGTGATTTTTATTATGCATTGGTCAAAAGTGAGAGTAATTTAACTTTGTTGTACTACAACAGCGATCCAGAGGAGTTTTTAAACAAAGTCGGCTTGTCGCGAAAAGAAAATCTTGAGATATCCGCAAATCCAAGAATTTTAAAATACTCTTTTGAAACTTACGAAACTTTTATTGATCGCTTAGCACGTTTGAAAGCTAAAGAATTTGCAAATGAATTGTATTTCACAGGATATGAGAAAACATTCAAAGAGAAGATTGTGGACGGATTAGTAGCTTTTATTCCATTTTACAATTGTATTAAATTCTCAAAAGCAGGTGACAACGTAGGTGCTTCGTTTTCATGCATTAGTGATGTCATCAGTTGGATTCCTTTCGCAGGTCAATTACTGCAACTTAGCAGTAAAATTGGAACAATGGCTTTTAATAACCTACTTCTTGCCACTGGAGTCACTGTTAGAACATTTACTGCAAGACAAGCAATTCGCATCTCGATGGAAGTTGGACTTCACGAGGCTTCGTCAGGATTAATGGAAATCGTGAAAAATGTGATTTTTACTAAAGAGATGTTCAAGAGTCTGTTCGTGGGTTTAGTTCGAACAGTGGATCCTGGCTTTGAATTTGTAGGCAGGTTACACTGGAAAGGAGGATTATTGCTGGGTAAATTGTTTAAAAAAACTTGGACAGTGACTGCAAAGAAGTATCCATTCATAAAAGTGAATTTTCCCAAGGAAATCTGGCAGCAGTTGACCAAAGCGAGTTTCCAGTCGGCAGATGATTCTGGAATGATTCCCGTTTTACTAGGACAGAGGGACGGTTATGATGTCTTTAGATACAGATACCCAGGAGGAGAAAAGAGATTTGGACCAAAATTTCTTCGTTTACCGAATACAAACGCTGAATTAAGGCGGGTCATTGGCTTTAATGCAGAGACTCCCGTAGTCGTGTCAAGAATTAACAAATATAAAGTGTATTACAAAAAGATTGATTTGAAAACCAAAAATACTTACGGTTTAGAATTGGAATTGAATCATAACGGTTTGCTGCGACCAGTCAGACCTTCATTTCGTGAGCACATTGGAACAATTATGAGGGAAGGATTGAGCGGTAGAGGGAAAGTAATGATCGAAAGGGAAAGATCCATTAATGAAGCTGCAAATCTGATAGCTAATTCAAATCCTTATTTGAGTCGTAGTAGTGTTAAATCTGTATTAAAACATTACGTTTTAGCAGTTGAACGTCCGTTGGGTATGCAGGAGGATCTAACAAACGTTATGATTGATCCAGTTTTAATCAATCAAATAGAAGACGTAAATCATATTTCATTGAAGAAGTACTTAGGAGAGAATTTGCTTGCTGGCGATCTTGCTTTGAACAATTATCTAATTATACCTACCTACAAGGATTTTGCGCTCGATTGGATTAGAACTAATGGGATACATAACTCATATTCTCAATTTTATGTGGAAAATTCAGCGAAATTAGATTCCTTAAGGAGTAGCTATGTTATTGATAATTTTATAAAAGCGGACTTGGAAGAATTTAAGAATAAATATGGATCGCTGTATGGATCTTATCAAAATATAGTAAAGTCTGATTTCAGTAGGGTTTATAATAAATATAACTCTATTAATGCAAGAAGGTTTGTTAGTTTTCAAGATTATATCGGATTGACGATTTATTCGACAAGCGGTGTCAAAAATCCAAACAGGCATATCAAGAATACTCTGTATAAATTAGCCATAAGGCAAGCTGACGAGACTATTCAATTTTCAAAGAAATTATTTTGTTTAAAAGGGAAAACTAAAGAGGAATTTCAAATCGATAAATTACTAGCAAAAGGAGATTTAGTGAATTCCAACTTTTTTCTAAGGGCATCAAGTAAAGAGAAGTTTATAGATAATAAAGTAATTGAAATTATTAACAAAAATTTAATTCCAGTAAAATATGAAATACATTTGGATTCCAATTTTTTGGCAGTAAATGTGAACCGTGTGATTCCTACAAATGAGGAACTCTTTGTAATACTCCCCAATGTAGAATTTTATATCGATGATATAATTGAAGAAATAAATATTATAACTGTAAAAATGTACAATAAGCCTACTGTAAAAGAACTATCGTTAGTGAAATATATGTCAGAAATAAAAAATTTGTAATAAAATTACTATAATAATAATTTGTTTGTTTATTTTCTGTTTCATTAATGTCGATTGTAATAAAATTTTACGAAGGCCTTTTTACGGATTCATTTATTGTAGTCATTATAATTTCAAATAATCTAAATTTTAAATTTCGAAACTAATGATTTTCAGGCTTTATATAGTGATACTAAAAAATATTTTAGGGTTGACAGCGTGTACAGCTGATTAGAAATACTGCGTAGTGTATTGGCGTCGATTACACGCTCATGCGTATACGTATTTATTGGAGATAACCAAATAATTTTTGTTAAATGAAACAAATTTTTGCATTGCATGAATGAAATTATTTTTAACTAAACTTATTCCCTGGCGGATCTCGAAATCGTAATGTACGCTGAATTCGTTGTACATTCGTTACACATTGGTTAAACATTTAGTTGGAGTGAAAATTGTGTAGAAACTTTGTGGAAACTGTGGAAAAGTGTAATTGAATTGAATAATAAAAGTATTTAGTGATAGATTTGTGCTGTATTTGTGATAAATTAACGTGTTATTATTAAATAAATAAAGTTTAAAGTGTAAAATGTTCGCGTAAGTGAGTTTGACAGGCTAGGGAATTTTCTAGTGACATCCAAATTGATAGTCGATAAAGAAGTTGAGCCGCCGACTTTGCACGGTAGGTGGCAGCATTCATACTTTCTCCTTTTTAAAAATTCTCTTTTTCAATTGTAAATAGAAAAATTAATTAATTAATAAGTTATATAGTTTCTATGTTGTCATTTTTTTTAACAATTGAATTTTTGAAGATTGTTTAATGAGATAAATTAAACTTGTATAATCGATGCAAATTGTTGCTTTTTAATTAAATTAATTTAATCATAATTTTAATAAAGAAAACTTTTTTATCTTTCTTTATTTTATTATTATTAATTTATTTAAAAGTATTACACTTTTCCACAGTTTCCACTCAGTTTCTACACAATTTTCACTCCAACTAAATGTTTAACCAATGTGTAACGAATGTATGTACCCAGACAGCACCGTTTTTCGCAGGGAGTTCGCGGGGAGTTCCCCGTGTTAAGTTCGGAAACTAAGTTGGGGAGCTTCAGGGGAAGTTCAGGCGAGCTCTATATGTCCTCGGTTTTATAACTCGCGATGCGAAGTTCAGGATAGTTATCCGATTAAGTTTGCCGAAAAATTGTGGATAAAAGTTTAGGAAATATTAAATTTTGAGTTTTACAGAAATTTGCTTTGTGAATTTCTTTAAAACTATCTCCGGAAAGTACTCTAAATAAGATATATAGGCAAATTTCCTGTAAAATTAAAATACAAGTTTTCAGTGAATTTTATAAGGTAAGTTTATTATAAATGTTTTATAATATTTATTAAATAAAAGTAAAATTAAAAAAATTTATTTTTCCCTTATTGCGCTTTCTTTTATTTTTCCCCAACATTAACGGCGCAATTTTCGGAAATAAATTTGGAGGAGCTGGGGATTGAACCCGGACGCGCAACACAACAGCCAAGAACCCTAACCACTAACCTAACCAACGACCTGAAGGTGGGTAACTTTCGGGTCTTTATAAGCTGCAAGCCTTGTCGTCATCAGTTGACACGAATGGCGGGAAAATTTAAAAATGTTTTCAACGAAATATTTTTAAATTCTATTATTAAATTAGTGTCATAATTAAAAGGGCATTGAAATAATATTGCAATGTTAATATTAATATTATTTGTGAAACTAGCAGCTATATAAAACGATTTAAGGTAATTCTTTAAAAATGAAATTTATTAAATACTGAATCTCGTTATAAAAAATTCTGGACTTGTCAAATTTTTATTAAATTATTATTCAATTAAAAGTAACATAATTAGAAAAACTTTTTGAACATTTATCAACGTATGTTTATGGCTTTTATCATTAATTAATTAATTAAATTTACCGAGATGTATGGTGGACATTTAAATCGTCAATTTGTAATTTGATAATTTAATTTAAAAATTAAAGTATCTGCATTTTATAATAAATAGTTATAATTATTTGTCAATAATAATATAAATTATTTATAATAATTGTAAATAAATTTCTTGCATTCTTTAAATTAAAATTTTTTATACAACGCAATGTTTTTTCATATTTTTTATAATAAAGAAACTTATTTTTGTATATCATAATAGCGGTGCCTTAATTTTCTTTTAATCTATAAACTTTTATTTTAATTATCGCTTTAGAAAACAAAATTAAAAAAAAAGAAATATTGTTTCTTTTCAAATATTATCTATTATATTTTAAAATTATATTTATATTTTTTCCATGTTTATATATATATATATATATAGAAAAAGTTGCAATTTAAGAAAAAAAAATGTATGTAAGAAATGGCAATTATAAATATACGGAAATGAGATAAAATAATATTTATAAAACAGATAAATGAATGCAGAAAATTTTAAACTGATTTAGTTTTAATTTCCGTTAAGGATAAGAAAATTCACAGTCAACAGCATCCTCTTTCTGTCGTATACGCAGTTGCGTAACGCGAAGCACATAAAAGAGTTGATTCGAGTAAAAGCATCATAAGTTTGTTGTTGAATTGAGCCGCTGCAGGAGGTGTCATTATAGGACAATTATTTATATATTTATTAGTATTATTATTAGAATTACTCATATTTTATTTATTTTCGATCATGTTCCATACTGTTTACTTGTGAGTATATACATATATTTTTTTTCAAACGTTTAATTTCAATTTTATATTATAGTTTTATTTAAATTAATCTCTCGAAATTTTTGGTGCAAATTTGAAAAGAAAAAAAAATTGTAAAAATTAAATTTATTGCAATTTTCTGTTTCTGAAATAATAAAAAAAATTCTTTATAATATAAAAAATTTCTTTCACTTTATATTATAAATGTCTTTTATTACAAAAATTTACAAGTGTATATATATATATGTGAAAATTATTTGAAAAATTATATAAATTCTATATTTTTTAATGTTTTGGGTAAAAAATAAATGACAAAAAAATGTGATTTTTATCATTTTAGATTTTTTTTTGGATATTTAGTCATTGTTAGTCCATTCAAGATAATTGAAGACACGTCACTTGCTGTCGAAAGTAATGTTGAGAATAATATTTCTGAAGTTTGTAAAACTAAAGAATGTTACACACTAGGTAAGTTTATTATTTCAAATTATAAATTAAATTTGTTTTTTTTTTCTAAAGAGCCCTAATGCCAATATTGAAGAAATTTCAATTAATGCAAATTATCAAAATACTGAAAATTTACTTAAAACATAATTATTTATTCTTATATATATACAATATATGCATCGTTGAAAGAAATATATAAATATTAATTAAAGGCTCAACAAAAATAATTAATCAACAACATTATCTAATTGTACGTAAAAAAAACAAAATTCTATAATATGCAATATTTTTTTATATTTATTATTTATAATATTTTATGTAAAATATATTATATGTATATAATAATTAAAATAATAATAACTTATTTCAATAAGATTCTAACTGCAAATAAACCTGATTGTTATATGATATTTTCATGTTAAAAATTATAACAAATATAATATAATAAACGACAGAAAAATAAATTTTTGTTTAACAATTTTTTTTAAATCAAGAAAAATTGATTTATTAATAAAGTAATAATATAATAATAATAATTGTTTTTCCTCCTTGGTTGTACATTTTCACTTTCCCCTTCGCAAAAAAAATAATAATAATTACAATAATAATAATAATAGTAAGAATGATGATAATAATGAGTAATAAAAAATTAATAATTAATGAAATAATTAAAATATTAAAGAGATATTTAACTATACATAAAAATTGTTGAAAGAAAAAGATTATTGAATTTTGAAAAAATATTTATTTGGTTATTTTTGAAGTTTAAAATTGTTTGTTCCTATAATTTCTATACAACATTAAAACTGACGAATAACAATGTATGACATTTTTAAAAATATTAGTGTTTATTTAATATCTTTTTTTTTTTTTTATTTACACACAATTGTAATACATTATTAAAATGTGTTTATTATACAATAATATTGTGTTTTGCAGCGGAATTAATTAAAAAAGGAATGAATGATACAGTAAATCCTTGCGATGACTTTTATTCCTATGTATGTGGTTCATGGCCGACTAATTATCCGGTTCCTGAAGACAAATTTAAGTGGGATTTGGATTCAATGGTTGAAGAAAAGATAAATATTATTCTAAAAGGTAATATTTTCATTGGAATAAATTTTTGTTTTTATGTAATTCAAATAATCGGCTACTTGACTATATTAATTGTCAAATAAATATTCATATTTGTATATCAAATAATATAATTATAAGTCAATTAAATTGTATTTGTTTCCAAATACAGAAATTATTATAAAAAATAAAGTTCTTTTTTTTTTTGATTTGAATAAAAATTATTTGATAATTTAATAACCGATTATTTTTTAATCACTCTTTTTTTCAGAGTAGTATATTTGTGAAAAAAAATCGTTACAATTATATTATTGTATATTCTATATTAAATATATTATTTATATATTTATAATATAATATAATATAATATAATATAATATAATATAATATAATATAATATAATATAATATAATATAGTTTGCATATATATATTCTATATACATTAATTTTCTAAATTATGTAGAATACAAAAAAAAATTAAATTTATTATCTATAACTTGAACTCTATATAAATTTTTTTTTCTTATTGCTGTTTTTTTTATAGAAATTTTACAAAAGCGATCAAGGACTCAGGATAATGTGCCATTAACATTAGAGAAGAAATGGTTCAAGTCATGCATGGATGAAGGTAATAACTTTTTTCCATTTAACACGTTAAATTCTTACTTATATAAATTTATATAGCTGCGATGATACAAAACTTTATTTGTTCTAATATTAAATTATTTATTTTCTGTTCATATAATTTATGAAGAAGTAATTTTTTTTATGAGCCTTAGTCATACAAGAATCTATATACAATAAAACACTATACTGATAAAAATTTTACTTTTTTCTTCAACAAGACAGTTTTTGTTGATTTTAAAAAATGTTTGTCTGTCACAATCAAGGTTCAATTCAATTATAAAAAAATAATTACACTTCAAATAGAATTCAAAAATTTTGAATTTTTCTGTAAATTTTAGTTAAAAAAAAAGAAGCTTATCTTTAATGAAGACAAATTTAAACAAATTTCAATATAACTCTAATTCTAACGAAGTTAAATTTAAAAAAAATCATAATTTCCATAATTTAAAAATCATTAATTACAATTTTTATTTTAAAGTATTTTATTAGAAATAATTATTTTTTGACAAATTTTCATTTTTCGAATTAACATTTGACAGATGTTCTTTTTATACGAATTTTTACATAACAAAATTTGTAGCTATAAAATTTTTATATTGCAGTCATTTTCTTTACATGACTTTTTATTTAAAAAAAATTTTAATTTATGCGAATTTTAATTTAAAAGAATTCTCATTCAATCGAATTTGATCTGTTTCGGAATTTTTAAATGACAGAAATTCTAATTCACCGAATTTTAATTTGTCCGAATTTTTATTTGTACGAATTTTTAATTGAAGGAATTTTAAGGTCCCGAATTTTCATTTGTCCGAAATTACAAATGGCCAAACAAACAATTTTCATAATTTCTGGTTAGTCAATTTTAAAAATCGCGCCCAAATCTTTTTGTAGGTTATGTTTGTTTGGACAAATGAAGATTCGTCATTTTAAGGCCAGGTCCAAGTGAGGCAGCGCCATCTACAATGAAACTAAAATTTTTGAAAATTTTCAACAGCCTTTTCTTGAAAACAAGAAGGTAAAATGCTTCTTCCTTTATGGATAATTGATTATTGGCAAGATATACACCAGCTAAAACTTTTTTTGAGTTAAAATAATAAAAAAAATTTCATGTCAATAAATTAAATATGAGCACTTTTTCACAAAAACTGTAACAGTATTTTCTCAGAAATTACAATCAAAAATGCAATTTCCATTTGGAAAATTAATAAACGCTAAAAAATACACGACCTAAGATTTACCAATAACGAAAATAACAAAAAAAAAGTATTTTAACATAACATATTTTACTCATTATGACAGCCGTTTGGCAGGTTATATATGTCACCAGACGTTTCGCAGTTTTGCCGAAAGGAGGAGATTGGCGTTGTTGCTAACCACCTGAAATACATAATCTACCAAAGGGCTGTCACAATCAGTAAAGCAGTATCAATATGTTAAATATTTAATAAAAATTTTTTTTGTTATTTTCGTGATTGGTAAATCTTAGGTCGTGTATTTTTTAGCGTTTATTAATTTTCCAAATGGAAATTGCATTTTTGATTGTAATTTCTGAGAAAGTACTGTTACAGTTTTTGTGAAAAAAGTGCTCATATTTAATTTATTGACATGAAATTGTTTTTATTATTTTAACTCAAAAAAAGTTTTAGCTGGTGTATATCTTGCCAATAATCAATTATCCATAAAGGAAGAAGCATTTTACCTTCTTGTTTTCAAGAAAAGGCTGTTGAAAATTTTCCAAAATTTTAGTTTCATTGTAGATGGCGCTGCCTCACTTGGACCTGGCCTTAAGAGTTATATCAATTAAAAATTCGGACAAATTAAAATTCAGTGAATTGGAATTTCTGTCATTTAAAAATTCGAATCAGATAAAATTCGATTGAATGAGAATATTGTTACATTAAAATTCGCTTTAATTAAAATTCTTTTAAATAAAGTCATGTAAAGAAAATGACTGTAAAATAAAAATTTTGTCAAAAAAAAATTCGGTAGTTAAAAATTTTGTTAATTAAAAATTTGTATAAAAAGAAATTCTGTTAATTGCTAATTCGAAAAAATGAAAATTCGTTAGAAAAATAATTATTTTTAATAAAATTGATGAGATGAGATGAGATAATAATTATTATTATAATTAACGGATTATTGTCAAACTAAATAAATTTATTTTGCACATTGTAATTTAAAAAACTTTATTCTTAATGAAAATTAAAATGTTTAAAATATAAATTTTGACTTATTTTAGATAGAATTAATAAAAAAGGTTTGGAACCATTAAAGAATATTATAGAAAAAATAGGTGGTTGGCCAATGACAATGAATACAAGTGTATGGGAAAAAAAAGAAATCACTTGGCAAAATGTTTCACAATATTATGCGAATATTGTTGGTGCATATAGTTTATTTGATATTGGCGTTCAACCAGATGCAGAAAATTCTACAGTTCAAATTATCGCGGTAAGAAGTAATAATATTCATCTTCAATATATATAAACACATAACCTTGGAAAATACGACAACTCGTGAAAAATAAATAAAAAAAAAAAAAAAACACAATTAAAAAAACAATAAAATACAATAACAGAAATAGTTTTCCTTTAATTATGAAACAGTAAAAATAAAATTCCTTATTATCGTGCGACAATAATAGTAATTATATAAATATTGTATATATAAAATTGTAGATTGATCAATCCAGTGACTCTCTGATTGAAACGCGAACATTTGGTGATAAAGAAAATAGTTATCATTATAAAAAATTTATTTCATACGATTATACAAATAATGAAGACGTTGATGATATTGATGATGATGATAATGATGATGATGATGATAATGATAAAGAAGCTGATGATGCTGCAGTAAAATATGTAAGACTTATACTTAAAATAGCATACGCTTATTCAGCATTTGTAGGAGGAAGTGAAAAAAATATCTTGGCTGACACTGTCAATTTATTAAAGTTTGAAGTATCATTGAAAGAGGTAAACATAATTATCAATACAAAATTATTTTGAAGAATTACAGGAATTAGAATTTCTTAATTTTAAATGAACATTCTTATTATAGATACAAACTTCTCCGAATAAAAAAGGCGATATGGAATTAGGAAATAATAAAATGAGTATTAGTGATTTTCAAAAATATTATAATCGTAAGAGGCCCGGAAGAACGACTGCAAGGGTAAAAAAAATATAATTATTTCTTTATTATTTGGGATATTTATATTCAATGTGTTTAAAAATTAAAGAAATAGTCAAATATCTCGAAAAGTATCGATTTTCGAGAAAAATAATCAAAACAAAACCAAAATTCAATTCCGAATGAAGATAGAACTACATTTTTGGATCTAAAAAAGCTCTACATTAATAAAATATTTTTTTTTTAAATGAGACCACTAATTTTCAAAATGAATTTTGTAATTTCGCTAAAATTCTGCGTTCAAGCATGTAATACACATGATTAAAATATTCCCAAGCAGCACGGTATATACCCTGAATATCCGTTGAATACCACAGTGGAATATTCTCATGATCATCTAGGAAAATCAAAATGTCCGCATCATGGGAATAATCCATAGTGACATTCAGGGTATATTCCAGTGACATTGAGGAAATATTCCTCGGTGACATTCACGGAATATTCCAGTGACATTAAGGGGATATTCAGGTGATATTGGGGAAATATTCCAGTGATATTGAGGGAATATTCCACGGTTACATTGAATTTTTTTTTTAAATGTGTTTTTAATCTTCCTGCTCATTCAAATAACAATTTATAACACATTTCTATTATTTCAACACTTAAAAAAAAATTCAATATAACCGTAGAATATTCCCTCAATATCACTGGAATATTCCTTTAATATTACCCTCAATGTCATTGGAATATACCCTGAATGTCACTGTGGAATATTCCCATGATGCGGACATTTTGATTTTCCTGGAAGATCATGGGAATATTCCACGGTGGTATTCAAGGTATATTCAGGGGATATACCGTGCTGCTTGGGTTAGGTCCCAAACATTTTCTACAATTAGGGCCAGGTCCAAATAAGGCAGCGCCATATATATTGAAACTAAAATTTTGGAAAATTACCAACAGCCTTTTCTTGAAAACAAGAAGGTAAAATGCTTTTTTCTTTATGGATAATTGTTTATCAGCAAGAAATACACCAGCTAAAACTTTTTTTGGGTTAAAATGATGAAAAAAATTTCATGTCAATAAATTATATATGAGCACTTTTTTCACAAAAACTGTAACAGCTGTTACTAACCACCTGAAATACATAATCTACCAAAGGGCTGTCACAATCAGTAAAACAGTATCAATATGTTAAATATTTAAAAAACTTTTTTTTTGTTATTTTCGTGATTGGTAAATCTTAGGTCGTGTATTTTTTAGCGTTTATTAATTTTCCAAGTGAAAATTGCATTTTTGATTGTAATTTCTGAGAAAGTACTGTTATAGTTTTTGTGAAAAAAGTGCTCATATATAATTTATTGACATGAAATTTTTTTCATTATTTTAACTCAAAAAAAGTTTTAGCTGGTGTATATCTTGCCAATAATCAATTATCCATAAAGAAAAAAGCATTTTACCTTCTTGTTTTCAAGAAAAGGCTGTTGGTAATTTTCCAAAATTTTAGTTTCAATATAGATGGCGCTGCCTCATTTGGACCTGGCCTTAAGTAAATTTGCGAAAATCACTAGGGTCAGCCGGGGTAAATTCGAACGCTAATTATTTCAGCTTAATTAAAATTAAAAAAAATAAGTTAGACATGAAAATTTTTACCTCAGATCCTCTTCAAGAGATTCTAAGTATTATTCCATTTTTCGTTTGTTAATTAGCAACAGCATAAACAAAGATAACGAGTATTGCAAAAAAGATTGAAAATCAAAGATGACACTCTTTCAGTATTTTGTCTCGTATTTGAAGAAAAAGAAGCTAAAAATTCATTTTATTATTTATAATTGTTTGTTATGAATACTAGAACAGAAACTATTTTTCATTTTTGCCTTCTGTAAAATTTTATTAATAATATCAGACCGTTCGTATTTACCCCGGAAAATTGGAAAACCGGGGTAAATTCGAACGGTATTTTCAATAATTTTTTCTTATATAAAAAATTGTTTTTATTTGATTATACTATTATTTTAACATTATAAAAGTACATAGAAAAAAGTTTTTCTTTCTATATGTATCCTCGTTAGTAATTAATAAGCAGAAACATATAATCTCTGTTCTCTCGAAGGAGTGTTCCACTTTTGTTTTGCCAAATGGTTTGTTGAAAAAAGTTTTTCAGGATCTTAATAAAATTTGGTATTCTAGGGTTTTTGGGGTCGCTGATTACCAATTTGACGTCAGTTTTTCAAAATTCAAAATGGCGGATCCAATATGGCGGACGAGAATTAAAAAATTCATTGGATTCGCTCGAAAATTGTTACTGGGGGGGTTTCAGGGTCGCTGATTACGAATTTGGAGTTAGAAAATTTGATCATTTTTAAAAATAAGTTTTAGGAAAGTCCGCCATTTTGAATTTAAAAAATTTGACTTTTATTTTTGTATTTACATTCAATCACTCCAAAATACTTTCTGTACCAAGTTTTGCAAAAATCCGTTATGATTTGATAAAGTTATTGAAGGTTTTAATTGTGTAATGCACTTTAATTTTTAACCTGTTTGATTTTTGTATTTATATATGATGCATTATTACATAATAGGTTTATTATCGTATTTTTTTTGAGTTTTTATATAAGTTTAACAATTGCAATACTTTAAATTTATTTTCCCTAAGATTTTTCTGAAATACAGTGGCGTTCGTATTTACCCCCATATTTTAGGAAAGTTGCAAAGTATCGAGGTAAATACGAACGCTAAGTTTCCTGCGATTGTAATTTATCAAAAATTTTTTCTACCCCATAAAATTGTTCTATGGAAGTAAAGTAACAACTTCATGCACCAGAATACCGGAAGTATTGTCTTTTAAAAGAAAAAACTTATGTTATTGTTGAAATTTACTAAAAGCGTTCGGATTTACCCGGGCTGACCCTACTTGGTTTTTTTTAAAAACAAATTTACTTAATTGAAGAAAAAATTCGCACCCAATATTTGGGTTGGGGCCTAATATTTTAATCATGTGTATTACATGTCTGAAAGCAGAAATTTAGCAAGATTACGAATTCGATATTAAAAATTAGTGGTATAATTTAAAAAAAAAATATTTTTTTTTAACTTCAGCCCTTATATTGGGTCCGGGCACATTTATTGGGGTTTAAAAATTTAGCCCTTTTCATTCGGAATAACTTTTGTTTTCTTTTAATCATCATTTTAATCATTCTCTATACTTTTTCAACATCCTGTATAATAAGTCACATTTTTAGAATTTATTTATTTATTCTATTTCTATATTGTTGTTATTAATCATTTGAAATATATTCTGTTTAGATTAATTGGCTCGAAATGATCCAAGCCTTATTCAAGGATACTGATGTTGTTATTGAAGAAACAGAAAAAATAGCTTTACTCGATAAACCTTATATTGATAAATTAGTTCACCTTTTAAAGAGGACACCTCAAAAAACTATTGGTACGAATTGTCAATAAAAAGAAAAAGAAAGGAAATATTTTTTTCTTCTTGAATTAAATAATAAAAAATATTATAATTTTAAAACAATATACTGATATTCAGAACGTGTGTGATCAATAATTTTTAATGAAATATTTTTTTAAATTAAAAATTCTCAAAGATTTTTTTTTCAATGTTTATTGATCGAGAAATTATAAAAAATATATCTTTAGATAAAATTTTTGAAGATTTTCCATCTTAAAAAAAAATTTCTTTTCTAATTGTTGATCATAAATTTAGTGAACTTCAGGCATCGTATATTTTAGAAGATATATAATTTTGTTTCAGTTAATTATATTCATTGGAGTTTTATAAGCGATGTCCTTAAATATTTGGACAAAACAACAAGACAATGGTTTGCCGAGACTGTTAATAGTGCTATGGGAATCACCAAAGAATCAGAAAGGTAAGATATTTTCATTTATAATAATAATCAAACTCAAACATTCAAAAAACTATTCAAATCTTATAATAACAAATTTTAAATTTTGAAAATTTGTTTTTATATCATATTTTCCAATGAATTTATTGCAGATTTTAAACCAAATAATTTGTATTTGAGTCAATTAAATTTTATTTGTTTTAAATACAGAAATTATTAGTTTAAATATAGTTTATCTTTATTTGATTATTGATTCAAATAAAAATTATTTTATATAAATTTAAATATTTATTTGATAATAATTGTCAAGTGATTTTTTATTTATTAAGCTTTTTTTCAGTATGGGGATTCAGAGTTAGTGAATCATTAGTTAGTGACGAACTAAATAATGAAAACAAAAGATTGTGATTCACTATAGTTAATTAATTAAGTATCATTTAATTAACCTACAATTTACTCTTTCTCATTAACTAGTGAATCACAATCTTTTGTTTTCGCATTACTTAGTTCGTCACTAACTAATGATTCACTAACTTAGATTTCTCCCCACAATATAGTTTTATTATGAGTCAAAAGTTCTGAACGTTTAAATGAACGAAATATTTTTTTTCAATCTATAAATTATTAAAAATTATGATGGCCATGTAAAATAAAACAGTAAATTAAACAATTATTAGGTAAATTAATAAATTCTTTTTAGATATTTAAAGCAATATTTTGTAATAAAATTCGTACTTAAAGAAGTTGACAAAAAAAATTTCGTAATTTTTAGGTGGGAAGATTGTATAAGTAATATGCCATTGAAAGATGGAATGTCTGTTGAATTCATCAAAAATCAATTCCCTGATATGACAAAACAAACTGTAAGTTGTATTTATTATATTTTTTCTAATAACATTATTTATTTATAAAATAACATTTATTTATAGTTTTTAATCATGAGCGATATCATATTTTACATAAAAATTTCTTTAAATTAAAAATACAATGTCACCTTTTAAAAATACAAAATAACGGATCCAATATAGTCCAAAAAAAATAAAACAATTTAAAACCTTCGAGTAATAAGTTTCAAGAGAATCTGATGAACTTAAAAAAATCTGTCATTTTGAATTTTGTCAATTTAACGTCAGATTCGTAATCAGCGACCATGAAAATCCCTAAACTTAGATTTTCGTAATAAATAAAAAATTCAAGAAATAATAATAACTTTTAAAATTTATATAATAACAGAAGTGTCATAAGTATAGTGAAATTATTAAATTCTTATTACTATAGGCAAAAGATATGGCCGAAGAAATCCGAAAGGAAATTGATGTAGAAATTTCCCGTGCCAATTGGATGAATAGTGAAACTAAATCCCTGGCAAGGAATAAACTCAAATTAATGGAAGTTCTTATTGGTTATCCGGAATGGTATTCATCGTCATCTAATTTAAGCGAGTCGTATGATGGGGTAAGAAATTCATCAAAATATATAAGTACCTATAATACAGTAGAAAATGATTACACTAAATTTTCCTTTTGCAGCTTGAAATTGGTTCGGATTATTTTGAAAATGCAATGAATTATTTAAAATTTGTAACACGCAATTCAGCCAAAGAATTTAGAGAACCATTCGACAAAGATCAGTAAGAAATTTTTGTTAATTAATATATTAATTTTATAAAAACTTTATATTAGCATACATGCTTATGTGTAATTAGATTACGTTATTTAATTTTATAAAGCACAATTTATTATATTATAGCTGCTGTATAATTTTACAGATGGCTTATGTCACCAATTACGCCAAATGCTTATTATCTTCCAGCAACGAATACTTTGAGTAAGTAAAACAAAAAGATTCGTTTTTCATTTACGTATAAAGACATTTTTATAAAGATAAGTAAACAATTTTGTACAATATTTGAAAATTAAAGTAATTTATATTTTGTTAATAATAATTATTTATTTTAAAGCCGTTCCAGCAGCACAACTTTTGATTCCCATATTTCATGCAAATGTACCAGAGTAAGTATATTTTAAATACTAATATTATATTTTGATTAATATCATTATAACTTCGGCATAATACTATTTTTTTTATTTTACAACACAGCTAATTTACAAGTATCAAGTTAATATAAAAATTGGGATGTTTCTTCCGGGTTAAAACTTTGGCGGTATTCCCGAACGATTTATCTCAAAAATTTAAATTTTCTAAATTTTTCCAAAAATTCAAAATTTATTTTGACCTAGCTCAAAATCCGTTGGTCCAATCAAAAAGTGCCGTATTAATGGGACCTGCGTAAAAAACGAACTTTGGGCGAAAACTAGCGAAACATGGCCAAAAATTTTAGCCAAGGTCAAAGATACTTTAGAGGCATTTCATATGAGAATACGGGGTCATGTCTCAGATTTTTCTCAAAATTCGGTAAATTTTAGTGATAGTGGTGCTAAATAAGTGTACAAATTTTGAATTTGAAATTTTTAATATTTTTCGAGATATTTACAATAACAAATTTCAGCAATATTTTTTTGCTTTACTTATAACTTTTATCCTATTAAAAATAGAGAAAAATGTTGCAAATGTTTTTTACGCGCACGATCTTAAACTTTTAGAAAAAAATTATTATTTTAAAATAATATTAATTTTTAAACAATTTGTTTAAAAAATAAAATTTGTTTATAACTTTTAAACATGTTCTCCCTAATTTAGAAACGCGAAAAAAATCATGAATATTGTTTAAGGCCAGGTCCAAGTGATTCAGCGCCATCTACATTGAAACTAAAATTTTGGAAAATTTTCAACAGCCTTTTCTTGAAAACAAGAAGGTAAAATGCTTTTTCCTTTATGGATAATTTATTATTGGCAAGACATACACCAGCTAAAACTTTTTTTGAGTTAAAATAATAAAAAAAATTTCATGTCAATAAATTAAATATGAGCACTTTTTTCACAAAAACTGTAACAGTACTTTCTCAGAAATTACAATCAAAAATGCAATTTCCATTTGGAAAATTAATAAACGCTAAAAAATGCACGACCTAAGATTTACCAATCACGAAAATAACAAAAAAAAATTTTATTAAATATTTAACATATTGATACTGCTTTACTGATTGTGACAGCCCTTTGGTAGATTATGTATTTCAGGTGGTTAGCAACAGCGCCAATCTCCTCCTTTCGGCAAATCTGCGAAACGTCTGGTGACATATATAACCTGCCAAACGGCTGTCATAATGAGTAAAATATGTTATGTTAAAATACTTTTTTTTGTTTTTTTCGTGATTGGTAAATCTTAGGTCGTGTATTTTTTAGCGTTTATTAATTTTCCAAATGGAAATTGCATTTTTGATTGTAATTTCTGAGAAAGTACTGTTACAGTTTTTGTGAAAAAAGTGCTCATATTTAATTTATTGACATGAAATTTTTTTTATTATTTTAACTCAAAAAAAGTTTTAGCTGGTGTATATCTTGCCAATAATCAATTATCCATAAAGGAAGAAGCATTTTACCTTCTTGTTTTCAAGAAAAGGCTGTTGAAAATTTTCCAAAATTTTAGTTTCATTGTAGATGGCGCTGCCTCACTTGGACCTGGCCTAACTAACAAAAGTTAATAAAAAATGAAATATTTTACGAACAAATAAAATTAGAGTAATTTTAAAAACACCATTAGAATGCTTATCAAAATCCGCATCCAACGAGCCATATATGAACTATTTCTGATAAACAGGTGTGAAATTAATAATTAATAATAAAAATTATTTAAATAATTAATAACAGTTGAAGAAATGAAGATAAATCGTCAATTCTTTTTTTATTTAGAAGACCATCTAATTCTGTGTCAAAAAAAGAATATTAAATATTACCAAGAATCAAAATTTAATTATAAAATGTTATTTAGAAAAAGACTGAAAAATACCATGCCGAGTAGGTAGGCAGCCCCCTCCAACTTGTGTCGTAGGGTGCTTAAACCTCAATTTTCAATAATCATCTGTTAATAATTTAGATTTGTTAAAAATGTTATTTACACTGGTTTTATTTAACACGGAATTAGATGATCTTCCAAATAAAAAAAGAATTGACGATTTATCTTCATTTCTTCAAATGTTATTAATTATTTAAATAATTTTTATTATTAATTATTAATTTAACACCTGTTTATTAAAAATAGTTCATATAGGGCTCGTTGGATGCGGATTTTGATAAGCATTCTAATGGTGTTTTTAAAATTACTCTAATTTTATTTGTTCGTAAAATATTTCATTTTTTATTATCTTTTGTTAGTTAATTAATTAATATCTCGAAAACAAAGAATAATGCCATCTCAAAAATTTAACCATCAATTTATTATGACTTAAACAATATTCATGATTTTTTTCGCGCTTCTAAATGAGGAAGAACATGTTTAAAAGTTATAAACAAATTTTATTTTTTAAACTAGTTGTTTAAAAATTAATATTTTTTAAAAAAAGTAATTTTTTTCTAAAAGTTTAAGATCTTCCGCGTAAAAAACATTTACAACATTTTTCTCTATTTTTAATAGGAAAAAAGTTATAAGTAAAGCAAAAAAATATTGCTCAAATTTGTTATTGTAAATATCTCGAAAAATATTAAAAATTTCAAATTCAAAATTTGTACACTTATTTAGCACCACTATCACTACAATTTATCGAATTTTGAGAAAAATCTGAGACATGACCCCGTATTCTCATATGAAATAACCTCTTTAGCTACATGGCTTAGACTAAAATAATTTTTTTCCAACTTATAAAAATCCAATACTTTATTTATTTTATTAATTTTTAGAGCACTTCTAATTTTATAGTATCATTTTGGAATACAACGTTTTGATTCAATATATAATATCAAATTGATCCAAATATTAGGATCATTTTTTAAAAATGATTTGGAAATTAAGATTCTTTTTTGATTTTAACAGTGCGTTAAATTATGGATCTGTGGGTTTCATTATTGGTCACGAAATGTCACATGGATTTGATAACACTGGTAATTTGATAGAATATATATAATATTACACATGATTCTAATTATATTAATATTAATTACCATATTTATTTAAAATTTTTATAATAATACAATAATTAGGACGAAAGTATGATGAAAATGGAAATGTCATTCCCTGGTGGTCAAGCAAAATGATTCGTGAATACGAGAAGAAGGCTAAATGTTTTGTGGACCAATTTAATAATTATAAAGTAATTCAAACTTAATTAATTACTTTTTTAAACAATACTTAGTAGAATATTAGATATCTGTAATGTATTTTCTTTTTCTTTAATTATAGGTAGATGGAAAACTAACTCAAGGTGAAAATATTGCTGATACAGCAGGGTTGAATGCAGCTTTTGGGGCTTACAAGCAAAAAATTAATAAAGACAAAACTAAAGAACAAAGTTTACCAGGATTAGAAAACTTGGATTCCAATCAATTATTTTTCGTTTCTTTTAGTGTGGTAAGTTTTTATTCGCAATAATAATAATTTATACTTAATTAGAGGCGAATGATTAAACCCCAAATTTGTTATTTCGAATTTTTATTTTCTCGAAAATCGTTTTATCTAAAAGAAAATTGAATATAATTTTTTGAATTCAAATCGTCAGATTATATAATAAAAATACTTTCGAATTATTATTTGACAGAATTTTTTAACTTCGAAAGAACATTTTTTATAATTTTCAATTTACCGTATAATCATTTCTCAGAATTATTATTGTAGAGAATTAGTATTTTTCATAATTTTTATTTTTCCAAAAACCTGTTTATCTATACTATTTTTGATTTTACATAATAAGATACCAAATTTCATAAAAATCTGACAATTTTTTAAAAATAATTTCTTAATATTTAATTAGACATATCGAATTCCGGAAATCTGACATCAGATTCGTAATCAGCGACCCAAAAAACCCCTAGATACCAAGTTTGAAGTAAATCTTAAAATTTTTTCAAAATTCGTCCGCCATATTGGATCCGCCATTTTGGATTTTGAAAATCTAACTTCAGATTCGTAATCAGCGACACAAAAAACCCCCAGAAATGATTATACGGTAAATTGAAAATTATAAAAAATGTTCTTTCGAAGTTAAAAAATTCTGTCAAATAATAATTCGAAAGTATTTTTATTATATAATCTGACGATTTGAATTCAAAAAATTATAGTCAATTCCTTTTAGATAAAACGATTTTCGAGAAAATAAAAATTCGGAAAAATAAAATTTGGGGTTTAATCATGCGCCTCACTTAATTAATATAAATTAGTTATTTTAAACTGTCAAAAATCCAAAACACACTATGACTATTGGAACATTAAACGCTCATTTAGGGTCAATTTAAAATATTAAAAAAAATAATTATTAAACAAAAGATTTTAACTTAACACAATTTTTTCCGAAAAGTGTATATAATTAAATCTTGTAGAAGTGTTTTAAATTTATTTTTATTATAGTTTTGAGGTTATGTTAAAGTCTCCATCCTACTTAAAAAGGCATTTAGTGGCAGGGCGTTTCAATACGTGTCGTTCGTGAATGTGGTGGAAATTAATTTTGATTTTCAAAGTCTTAAGACAAATTTAATTTACCAAAACCTAATGTTTCTATTTCTTGAAATCAAGGGACTCAAATATATGTATGACAAAAATGATTTTTTTAATGTTCTACACTGAGAAAAATATGCTATTGAATCAATAGCATTTCTGCCAAAGGTATAAAAATTATTGATTCAAAAGCATATGCTATTGAATCTATGAATTATTTTACAAATTTTATAGCTTTAGATAATCAATAATTTATATACCTTTGTCATGCTGTTGATTCAATAGCATATTTTTCTCAGTGTATATTGTTTATAGGAGTTTAAATGCTGCTAATTTTCAATAATTTTTAATCAATTGCATTCCAGTAAAATCAGTTCGAATTCAACTGAAATTAGTTATTAGAGGACGTTGATGTTTGTTTTTAAAAACTTAAAATGGCGGACTATTTATTGACATTATGGCTTCCTCATGACTCACCTATAGCATTAAATTAACTCTAAATGAGCCCTTACCCACATAGCACCGAAGATTTAATAAATATTTATTAAATATTTATTTTCAATGTTCGCAGTATTTAGAATAAAGGTTATTAAGTAAAGCTTTTGTAAATATTTAAATGTCCGCACTTGAGCAAATGTTTAGCGCGAACCTTGAGTGAAGCTTGAAATTAAATATTCGTTAAAGGTTCGGCTCGAAACTTGAGTGAAGTTTTAAATTAAATATTCGTTAAAGGTTCAGCTCGAACCTTGATTAAAGCTTGAAAAAAATATTCGTTAAATGTTCGCCCAGATAGCTGGATTTTAAAAATTATCTAATCATAAAGTATTAATTGTATTAATAATAATAATATAATTAAAATAATTATATCTTTAATTTGAATCAGTTTAATGAATAAATTGATTTAAGGTATCACATCCACAGAAAAAACTTGGACTCATTTTTGTTGCAACTCATTTTCTTTTGGGTATCGAAATGAGTATGGGACAAACTTCATGTTATTCAAAATGATATTGGCTGGAATTTGAGATTTCTAAGTTGGCATCATAAGCAGAGTAATTTTGTATTTCAATTATTGTTTCTAATATTTCAACAACACCAGAAAGATTATTTTGACCAGTACGAATATTTAGAAGTTTTTAAATAAAAATTATTTATTATTATTTACGTAGATAATAATTAATTTCATAAGTTTTTAAATTTACCGCTATTATTTAAGTTGGCAGTACCGTTCCTGTTGTCAAAACACATGTTTTCATTTTTCTAACCTAAAAACATATTTCCTTTATTATTTTATTACGCGATTACAAGCAATTTTTAATCAAATATATTAAGTCTAGCGTGTTATTTACTTCTTTGTAATTATTATATTTCATGTTTTTGTGCAAAATTATTCGTTATTTCACAATATTTTTCCATTTTTCTTTTTCTCAAAATGAAACTTGCCTGTTTCATTTTGATACTTTTACCTTAGAACTCGAAATGAAACAACCAGTTTCATTTTTGTTGCGAATCAAATTGAGTATAGAATCTATACTCAATTTGAATTCAGGTTTTTTCTGTGTCGGCACTAATCGGAGTCAAAAGTTTGTAGCTCGCATTACTACTTCCCGCACTATACTTTCGCCCTCAACTCCCTATACTCTCAGCCCATACTGTACCTACTTCTACAAATACACTCGTACACGTATACCCCACACTAGCAGCGATTGGAAGGAGTAGGAGGTTTGACAACGTCGCTATAAGTCTCGCTTTGACTACTGTGGACTACTGTCTCTCTCTAACTAATGTTACCATCCTGCGATGTTGCCACATCAAAGTGGCGGGTGTGCTATATATTGCAAATGACGTCATGAAATAGAATTTTTAATTTATAATTACGAATAAACGGCACGGTAAATTATAAATTTCTTTGTATATTTTAGTTCCAAATTTATTCCTGAATTCAACATTAGTTTTTGAAAAAAATTTATAGAAAACTTCTGATGATATTTATGAAAATGTACTTCTCCCCCATACATTAGTCCCGTCTCCCATGCAAAATAAGCAACTTTGATTGCTAATATCTCTGGTTTCGTACGGCGAAAATTCTTCATATTTTGCAAATTTGTCAAGAATGATAATAAAAACATATGGTAAAATTTTCAAGAAAATCTATAGAAAACGGTTTTACCGATGTGATACCTTAAGAAATTTTAGTTTTCAAAAATGAAAAAAAAAATAATTTCTTAAATTTAGGGACTCATACTTGTTTAAGCAATGTTTTAGAGACTTTAAATAACGAAATTAATTTTGAAAATAAATTTAGGGGAGCGAGGATCGAACACGGGTTCGACGAACGCAAACGCAATACCTAACCAACCGAGCTATAAGAGCAACTATGATTGGAAAAAAAAAAATCTTAACCTTTATTCTAAATACTGCGAACATTGAAAATAAATATTTAATAAATATTTATTAAATCTTCGGTGCTATGTGGGTAGAGTCAAACCACGTCAACGGTGAGTAAAAATTTTGTAGATTTTTGGAAAAATAAAAGCAATTATCAAAATCTGTACCTAGCTAACAACGAACAAAAAAAAAATACTACCGTTTTTCGACTATTTTTTATTATAAAAAAAGTTTATAAAAATTAAAAATTTTTAAAAATGGTTTAAAGTGCTTTTTTTTGGTTCGTTGTGAGCTACAGATTTTCATAATTTCTTTTATTTTTTCAAAAATCTACAAAATTTTTACTCACGGTTGACGTGGTTTGACTCCATAATATGTTCCAATAATATATATATGTCTGATAGGCATTGCATGATTTAGATTTACATAGCTTAAATTCTTTTAATTTGTTTAATATAGGCATTTTGTCAGAGTGCAACACCAAAATTCTTATCGAAAGTTGAAACCGATGTCCATACAAAATCATCCGTTAGAATAAATGGAGCCGTGGCAAATGTAAAAGGATTTAGTGAAGCATTTAAATGTAGAAATGACAAAAAATGTACCCTATGGAGTTGATTAAACTCAATTTTATCATCATCGTATAGTTTATAAATGAAAATTATAAAAAATATTAGCTAATTTTACAACGTCAAATCAAAGTTCTAGGAAATAATTTTTCTTTTAGTTAATTTATAATTGTATAATAATAATAATCTACAATTATGTCACACTCTTTTGTAGTTTTTATCTGCTAATTTTTGGAAGTTATATGTTTTTTTATTCTTATCTTGAATCAGTAAATTTTTTACACTGAATCAGATGCAAAAATACATTTCAGTTTATAATTATACAAGCGTATTAAATCTTAAGCTGTTCAACTTATATGACATGTATAAACAAAAAATGTTAATTTAAATAATGTATAATTGTTAGTTAATATTAAAGGTGTTTGTTTTATAACAAATGTGATGATAAAAATTTTAATTCACAACTATAAAGTAATCCATTTTTGAAGAACTTGATAAGATATTAATTTTCTTTTATTGAAAAAAACATTTATTAATTTTAATAAAAAGCACTAAATTTAGTGAAAACTTTTTACCTCTTTGAAATATTCTATGTACATAATTATAATAGAATTTAAAAAGGATTTAAATACTGTATAAAGAATGCTAATTATTGTTTGCTGATATCACAACATGTATATTGAATTACAAAGCCATATATAAAATACAGAGGAACTTGATCCAATTGAATAGTTTTAATAAGTGGATATTCACATTTTGTTTAATATTTTAAACGAATGAAAATAATTTTCTTGTGATTATAAAAAAATGTTAATTAAACTTTTAGTGTAAGTGACAAATATTTTCGAAAAAATTAACTATACTTGAATAAAATTTATATCATTTTAAATATTATAAAAAGTTTATGGGTGAAAATTTCCCAACTGGGCAACCTAAAACTGACTTTTCAAATTTAAAATATTTTTTTCATAATCTATTGCAGGAAGCCAAATTAAAAACATTCCTGAAATGAGTTTTTAAAAAAAACGTCACTCTTCAAATTCGCGTAATTTACTCATTTTTTAAAGGTACTAAGATTTTTTTTTTTAAATTAAAGTTGAGAAAGTGTAGATTTATGTCGTTTTTGAAATTTTTTTTCTAAACATATATGAGAAATAGTTTAAATATTCATTTGTTTATTAAATAAACAATTTTATTTGCATAAACAATAAAGATTAATTGAAATTTCTATTGCATTTCAAAGAGATATAATTTTTCTATATACTCACCAAATTTTATTAAAATTCATTAACAAGCAACAGAGTAATTGCAAATTTAGTTAATTTAATTAATTTAATTTAGTTAATTTAGTAATTAAAAACTTAATTTTTTTAAAAACGCATTTCAGGAATGTTTTTAATTCGGCTTCCTGCAATAGATTATGAAAAAAAAAATATTTTAAATTTGAAAAGTCAGTTTTAGGTGGCCCAGTTGGGAAATTTTCACCCTTATATATATACCTCTATCAGGGTTTAATAATTTTTAAGAATAAATTTTAAATAAAAATGATTTGATTAATTTTAGAATTGCCTTTGCATTTGCGATTGATGTCGAATCATATGTTATTGAAAAAAGATACAATATTTGTAACACTGAAGAATGTAAAAATATGGGTATGTGAGTATGTTTATTTGATTAAAATTGAAATTATTTGGTTCAAGTTAAATATTTTTTTTCCACAATAGGTTAGGAAATGAATATTTGAGTCAATTAATTTTTTTCAATATAAAATAAAATTGCTATATTCTTAAGGAATTAAGAAGAAGAGTAAGAAAATAATTGTATTATTTTTTTTTATTTAGCAAATTTAATCATCAACAGTATGAATAAAAGTGCAGATCCATGCAATGATTTTTATAATTATGCTTGTGGCTCATGGCCTATAAATTATCCTGTTCCTGAAGGAAAATTGATGTGGAATCTCGGTGGAAATATTACGAATTATATTGAAGCTTCACTGATAAGTAAACTTTTATTTTCTTTCAATTTATATATGGAATCACTAAAACATATCTTAAAGATTATATACATATATACAATTTAGATTTATTAGTAAATATAGTAAAAAATTCACTACTGCCCTGCAAAGCTATTATGATGTTCTCAACAAATTCCCTACTTAGGGAAAATTTTTTATAGGCTTTGTTAAGTTTTTACAATTTTTTATTTGTAACTTATATTCTATTCAAGATTATTAAATATACTGTATTTAAAACACTTAAAATTAATTTTGTAAAATCTTGCATGCATGGGGAATCGAACCCTGGACCCTCGGGCACGCGAGCCGTGTACTCTGACCACGCAGCTACGTTGACTTATAAAATTCTTTTTGAATATTAAATTAAAACTGTACTACATTCTATTTTTTATAAAAAAATAACTACATTATTTTTAAATTTTTACATTTGACAAAATAGTTCATAATTCTTTAAAATAATTTATTAAATAACTCATGAAATAAACTTTTTTGAATTTTTAATAAATTAATTAAATAATTATAAATAAGTGAATATCAGAGAAACATTTGTAGAATGTAAATTTCACGAAATTATACAAATTTATGATTACATAAAAAATAAATATAATTTTATTTGAATTTTATAGAAATTTTGCAAGAAGAATCAAAATCCGAAGACAATATTCCATTGTCTATAGAAAAGAAATTGTTTAAAGCCTGTATGGACGAAGGTAATTGAATATTTTCATTTTTTATTAACTTACTATATATTTTTTAAATTATTGCTAATTTTGAAAACTTTCAAAAGGCCTTGAATATTTCTTTTAAAGTCGCTGAACTCTCTTTATTCTTTTTCTTGATAGCCCCTGTACTTTGATAACCCGTCATTATTGCAATAGTGACGGGTCAAATCGTTTTGGTGATTGAATACGTATAGCACAGTGAGAAAAGTGTAATTTACTGTTTAAAAATGTTCAGAACCTTCATTTCTTATTGTTAACCAATTTAATTAATTTTTTTTTTAAATGAAAGTTAATAAAATTAAAAAGAGGTTTGTGGATCTCCGTTTTTGAATTTTTATTTGTTTATATTTATTTAATGCAAAGTTTAACGAAAGTAGCAATTTTTAAAAAAATGTGTTCCCCAATTAATATAATATTTCTATAAGTCGTTATAATTTCACAGAAAAAAAGGTGGGTAAAAAGTTGTAAAGATACAGGATAAAAGTCGTTAGGATACAGGGTAAAGGATAAATTTGTGATGGATAAAAATGTACTAAAATATTACTAGAAAAATGGATGTCATATTTGAGTAAACTGTCTAATTTTAATAAAAATATTAGTAATTTTACACTTAACTTATTAAATCCACAAATTTTTTATAAATAAGTAATTGCATGTGGAAATATTTTGCCTATAATTATTGTCTATTAATAAAAATATCTTTGACTAATACTAGTGACAGCTGACGACAGTGCGTAAATAATCAGAACTGGGAAATTACAACCCAACGTCTGTATCGTTGCACGAAAGCAGAGTTGGGTAGTAACTGAATTTTTTGTGCATATTAGGCTCTGTCACTTGTGACGTTAGAGTCGATTCTAGGTGTGACGTCAGAAGCCTGGAGGGACAACAACAATGTTATTCTTATGGGGAAGAAAATTAGTTTCCACTTTCATCAATTTTATTCATACTTTGAACATGGAAAACGCTTGTTGACATCTAATAAAATTAAAATGTGTGTTAATAATTAATTATGTTATATATTTGATTCAATTGCATTGATAGATTCTCTGAATTCGTGATAAAATATAAATTTTGAGGTTAGGGGTGTTTGTTTACTTACTTGAAATCTTTTACTGCTGCGGTAATTCACACTTAAAATATATATTTTATATCTTTTTTAATAACATGCATACTGGATATTGTTTAATAATGTTAAAATGTAAAATGTAATTAGTAAACAAACACCCCTAACCTCAAAATTTGTATTTTATCACGAATTCAGAGAATCTATCAATGCAATTGAATCAAATATATAACAAAATTAATTATCAACACACATTTTAATTTTATTATATGTCAACAAGCGTTTTCCGTGTATAAAGTATGAATAAAATTGATAAAAGTGGAAACTAATTTTCTTCCCCATAAGAATAACATTGTGTCGTCTGTTTGTTGTCCCTCCAGGCCTCTGACGTCATATCTTGAACTCGAAATATCTCGATGAACTGACACACAGCCTAATATGCACAAAAAATTCAGTTACTACCCAACTCTGCTTTCGTGCAACAATACAGACGTTGAGTTGTAATTTCCCAGTTCTGATTATTTACGCACTGTCGTTAGCTGTCACTAGTATTAATCAAAGATATTTTTATTAATAGACAATAATTATAGGCAAAATATTTCCACATGCAATTACTTATTTATATAAAATTTGTGGATTTAATAATTTAAGTGTAAAATTACTAATATTTTTATTAAAATTAGACAGTTTACTCAAATATGACATCCATTTTTCTAGTAATATTTTAGTAACATTTTTATCCATCACAAATTTATCCTTTACCCTGTATCCTAACGACTTTTATCCTCTATCTTTACAACTTTTTACCCACCTTTTTTTCTGTGATTGCTAAATAAAATTATTTAACATTAGATAGAATTGAGCAGAAAGGATTGGAAGGATTGTCGAAAATTATAGAAAGTTTGGGTGGTTGGCCATTGGTTATGAGTCACGAAAAATGGAATGAAAAAGATTTTCCTTGGCAGAAAGTTGCAAAAGGATATATGGAATACAGTACTGCAATTCCTTTATTTACCATTGGTATTTCGCCAGATTCACAAAATTCCAGTATTACACTTATAAGTGTGAGAAAAATTTATTATCTAAATAAAATTTTATATACAAATATATAAATATATATACACCTACATTTTTTTGTAAAATGAAATATTTTTAACATACTATTAATTTTTAATTAATATACCTATTATATTTAAGTTCTAAATATTACATTTATATAATATATCCATATATATATGTAATTATATAATTAAGTATATAATCTATAAACTATAATAATGTAATGAATAATATATTTTTAGTTGCAAGAGCCAAAAAACTCGTTTCTTAACAAACAAATTATTGACGACCTATTAAAATCATTAGATACGGCTAATAATGTAAACAAATTTTCCGAATTAAATGCCATGGAATTTATTTTTCGTTTGCCATTGTTTTATGCAAACTATATAAAATATAATATTGATGATTCAATATTTGTTAAAAAAATTTCAAAAATGATACACTTTTTAAATGGTTTGAAATTGGTAATATTATTTTTTCAATAAATAATTAGTATAGGAAGAAAAAAAAACAATATATTTTGACACATAAATTAATTAATTAAAATAAATTTTCAGATAAAATCACCTTTAAGCAATTATGGTGAAAATCAAGCAGAACAAAAAATGACTATTAGTGAATTCCAAAAATATTACAATCGAAATAAATCTCAAAAAAGTACGACAAAGGTATATAGGAAAAATAAATTTGCAAATTTTAAAATTAAAAAAAATTCTTAATAATTTTGATTCTTCTTAATTATTATGTTTAACATTTTTCATTATTTTTTAATAGATAGACTGGCTTGAAATTGTACGAACATTAATGAAAAACACAAATATTAATATTGACGAAAATGAACAAATTGTAATTGGTGACAAATTATATTTTGATAAATTATTTGTCCTTTTAGATGTAACGTCTCATGAAACGATTGGTAACAAATTTGATAAATTTTAAAAAGTTAACCTTTAAACTGCTAGGTGCTAAAAAATTACTAGCTCAGATAGCACGTAAGCTTGTAGCAACTTTGCGGCAAGCTTGCCGCGCAATATTGCCAACCTTGCACGACAAATTTGCCAAAAGCTTACTACACGCTTCAATTGTCTCACCTGACCCAAGCTTGCATGGTGAGCTTACCGAAAGATTGCAGTGTAAGGTTACTGCAAGATTGCTCAGTAAGCTTGCACAGTAAGCTTGTAGCAAGGTTGCCAAATAATCTTGCTTTGAATCTAAACAAATTTATTTTTTAATGTTTCGTCTAATTTATATATAATTTTATTATATATTATTATTAGTATTATTAATATTATAAAATTAAAAAAATTATATTAATGAATTTTAAAATTTTGAAACAATTGTCACCTAACAGTTTTTCATAAAAGAAGTTTATATTATACTTTTTTAAAAAAAGTAATAAACGAAAAATGTTTATATATAGCGGTCTAAAAGACCATTATAACAGTTTAAAGGTTATAATATACCGTATAACATTTTTTTCTTAATTTTAAATATTTTTTATATTATAATATTATAGTTAATTACTTACACTGGCATTTTTCGCTAACCACTCTCGCTTATTTAAATAATGAAGGAAGGCAATTAATGGCGGAATACAGAAAAATTACAACTGGAATTACACCAAAAAAAGAAGAAAGGTTTTTATAAAATACATAATATTAACTAATTGCAGTAAAATTTATAAATTTTGAATTAGGAAATGCAAAAAAAATAATTCAAAAAATTTTTTTGGATTGGAAATTTAAAAATTAACATTGAAATTTTACTGAAATATATATTTATTAGAAAAATAATTTTTTAAAAAAAAATTGATTTTAAAATAGTTTTTTTCTCGAAACACGGACGCTTTTTACAAAATTGGATAGCATACCAAGGATTCTTACGAAGCTGAAGTACGCAACGTTTATGACAAACGATTTTTAAAGAAATAATTTTTTAAAATAAAAAATTTTATAATTTTTTGCCTAAAAAATATTTTTTTATAATTTGTTGATTAATGAAAACTACAAAAAATATTTTTTAAGCAAAAAATTATAGAATTTTTCATTTTAAAAAATTATTTCTTTAAAAATCGTTTATCATAAACGTTGCGTACTTCAGCTTCGTGGATTCTTGTCTTAAAAATTTTCAAAATCCGAAACATTGTGTGAATTTATGCAAAAAATGTAATTGAAAAATGGGAAATATAGTAATATAATGACAGCTACGTATTTGTGCTTCCTGTATGCTTCTGCCATCTGACGGCGACATGACGTAATAAATCTGTCATTATATTACTTTCCCATTTTGCAATCGCATTTTTGCATAAATTCGCACAAATTTTTGGATTTTAAAAATTTATAAGACAAGAATCCTTGATATGTGGCCGATTTTGTAAAAAAAATGTCTCGTGTTTCGAGAAAAAAATATTTTAAAATCAATGTTTATCATTTTCAAGTTCAGTGCCGTTCTTATAGAGAGATAATTAATTTATTTTATTTTGTTATGTCAAACTACATAATTTTAACAAAATTATTTTGTTATCATTACTTTTTTTTCTTAGAACATTTTTATAACTAAAAAAGTCATAATTTATCATTATATCATTTTTAGATCCGTAGAATGTGTAACACAACAAATTTTGAATCATGGTGTTATAAACGAGTATTTAAAGAGAAATTTTCCTAAAAATATTTCTGTGCCTGTAAGTAAAGTACAGTTTTTTCTATTTTTCTACTTTCTATAAATTTAAAAAGAGAGTGTTTTCGACAAAAATCGATATAGTGATGCATTTGCGTATTTTTACGCCTAGAAACTTATTTTAAGGGTTTGCTTTTTACTTAATAGTTTTTAGGGTCGCTGATTACGAACAAGATATTAGATTTTCAAAATCCAAAATGATGTATTTAATATGGCGGAAATTTATTTTTTAATTGATCAAATTCTCTTGAAATTTGTTAATTAGGGGTTTTTCGGGGTCACTGGAAAAGAATCTGACATCAGATTTTCAAAATACATAATAGCGGTTCTAATATGGAGGAATTTTTTTTAATTTATCGGATTTACACTTAAAATTCTTTACACGTGGCATTTTTGGGTCCTTGATTTTTTAATTTATAAATTTATGTCATGTTTATAGATTTTAAATTGACGAAAACATTTTTAAATATTTTTTTTGGCGGGATCAAAAATATTTATTGTATAGAATCAATTATACCATTTTGTTTAAAACCAATTCATTTATAGATTAGAAATATAGCTGAAGATATTCGAAAAGAGATGGATAATGTTATATTACAAACAAGTTGGATGGACAGAAAAACAAAATTATTAGCTAAAGAAAAATTGAAAGCTATGAAAGTTAAAACAGGATATCCTGAATATTATGATGATGAAAAAAAGTTTAATGAAATCTATGACGGTGTAAGAATATTTATTTATTATTTTATTTCTAAATAAAAAAATTTATTAAATTGTTCTTTATTTATTTTCTTTATTAAACTAATTAATTAATTTTTTTTAAAAATATAGTTTGAAATTAGTGAGGATCATTTTGAGAATTTTATGAGAATTCTTGAATTTATAAAACTAGAATCGTTAAAGAAATTAAGAGAACCATTCAAAAAAGATGTGTAAGTTTTACATAAAAAATTTTTATTTTTATATTCATATTATTTTAATAATATTTTTTTTTAAAAATAAGTATACATTGTTTCTAAGTTGTTTTAAAATATTTTTTTCAGATGGTTTATGTCACCTCTGACGGTTAATGCTTATTACTTTCCTGCTGGCAATAGTTTAAGTAAGTATATATATCATAGTAATATTTATTATAAACTTTATTGGCTTAAATGCCGCATTGAATTATTTTTTTTTTAATTTTCCAGCTATTCCAGCAGCACAATTATCAATTCCCGTTTATAGCACAAATTGGGGTCTAATGTAAGTTATGAATAATTTACATAGGCAGACAAAATTTTGTCTTACTTTAGAACCAAGAAACAGACTATACTTTCTCGAAGTATTTTGACTTGCTGAATCCAAATCTGACCTCAAAACTGACCCAGCACGTCAGATTTTCGAGATATTCTAACCTAAAAGTGCAGAAAAGACGCGTTTCTTTGGCCATATTTGAGGTCGTGTAACATTAAGATATAATTTTTCTTCAAAAAGGTCGTTACAGCATCTGAAAGAACTATTCTTACCCTTCAAAATGCATTTTGAAATTTTAAAAAAATCTTTATTTGCCTCTGAGTTATCGTCATTTGAATTTTTTGAAGCATTATATTGAAACACTTTCTACTCAGAAAATTTCAAATAAAGATTTTTTAAAGTTTTAAAATTCATTTTGAAGAGTAAGAATAGTATTTTCAGATGCTGTAACGACTTCAAATATGGCCAAAAATCGTCTTTTCTGCACTTTTAGATTAGAATATCTCGAAAACCTGACGTGCTGAGACGTCATCAATTTTTGAGGTCAGATTCAGATTCATTACGTCAAAATACTTCGGAAAAGTATAGTCTTGATTCTTAGGCCAAAATTTTGTTGACCTATGTTATTATTATATAAAAAAAATTAAATTAACAAAATATATTTAATTATTTTATATTATAAAAAGGTCCGCTAATTATGGTTCTGTTGGATTTATTGTTGGGCACGAAATGTCTCATGGATTTGATATGCTAGGTATATTTATTAATGTTGTAATGATTTTTGATCCGAATATACAATTTTAAAATTATTATTATTATTATTAAAAATTTGTAATATCAATTCGGTTTTTTAACAGGATATAAGTATGACAAGAATGGAAATGTTATTCCATGGTGGTCTGATAAAGTTGTGACTGATTTCAAAACAAAGGCTGATTGTTTTATAAAACAATATGATAATTATGGGGTAAATTTCCCCCGGCAGCACCGAAACTTTCTCAAATATTTCCTAAAGATTTATTTGAAATATTCCGAACATTTCAAATAAATCTTTCGGAAATCTTCAGGAAAGTTTCGGTCCTGTGGGGGTTAATTTATTTTTTACTTTTTATTATTATTATTATTATTATAAATAGTTAGTTGTATTTTCAACTGCTATTTTTTACACAAATTAAATACCTATATATTTTTATGCATAAATACTTTTTTTAATAATCATATTTTAATGCACCTATAAAGGTAAATGGAAAATTGACACAATCTGAAAATATTGCTGATAGCTCAGGACTAAATGCTGCTTATTCAGCGTTCATCAAGAAAGCAAATAAAATCAGAGAATTTAAATTACCTAATTTGGAAAATATTACACGGAAACAATTATTTTTCCTGAATTTTGCCAATGTAAGTGAAACAATTTTTTATTTTATAGTCAATTCAATACTTAATCATCATTGATTTTTCAGGATTTTCTCTAAATTTCTATTATTGAAAAGTTCCTTTTTTATACACTGTAAAAAAATAATTATTCAACTAACTTTTGTTACTTGACTCTATTAATTAATTAAATATTTAATTGTAATAACCCTAATAACACAAGATATCTTGGGATATATTGATAATATCCAGCAGATATCCTAGGGATGTCCTATGGATATCAAAAGGATCTCTTAAGGATATCCAAAAAATCGGCGGTTTGGATATCCTTTGGATATCCCATGGATATCTGAGGATATCCACAGGATATCTTCTGGATATCTCTTTAGACTTTCATAAATGTCCTCCAGATATCCCATAGATATCGTCAGGATATCCCATAGATATGGTCAGGATATCCCACAGATATCATCAGGATAGCCCATAGATATTGTCAGGATATCCCATAGATATCGTCAGGATATCCCACAGATATTTTCAGGATATTCTCAGTATATCTTCTGGATGTCAAGAAGATATTCTCAGGATACTGCTTTTAAAGTCATTATGAGACTACGAGTGAGAATATTCTGTGAATTAAATTTTATATAAATAAAATAAAATGCAACTTGTTTTTCGAGAAAATTGTTTAATTTGAAAAATTATTAACTAATTTTTTTCTCATTCGTGATTCATTCTTTTATTAATATGCTTAATATTGTCAGAAAATAAATTGGCTTTAAACAATATAAATTCTTCCCCGCAAATAACGAATAACTATTAATATTAATTATACATTAAGTGCATGAGTTTATTTAAAAACTTTGAAAAATGCGTTTCAAACCTTCATTTAAAATAAATCAGAAGCTCATAAGATTTTTGTTTTTATTATATTATTATTCATTATATTAGCTTAACAATTTTAACCTTTAAAAATATATGTTGAGATATTAAATATCCCGTGAATATCCTAAGAATATCCCACGGATATCCTGATGATATCCCATGGATATCCTGCGATATAATATCCAATAGATATTTTGTGGATGTCTTAGGGATATCCTGTGGATATCCTATGGATGTCCTGTTGATGTCCCACAGACCGGCGGTTTGGATATCCTATGGATATCCCAAGATATCCTGGGGACCATTCTAGGATATCGACCATTGCTATGGATATCCTTTTGTTATGAGGGAAAATAATATATTTAAAATTGTTACAGACTTTTTGTCATAGTACAACAGATTTTTTTGAAAGAACTGTCGAAAAAGATGTACACACAAAAATCTCTCTAAGAATAAATGGCGCCGTTGCTAATGTGAAAGGATTTGCTGAAGCTTTTCAATGTTCGAAAGAAAGTCATTTGAATCCTAGGGAAAGATGTATTATTTGGGAATAGTTTGAAAATAATAACATATTTAAATAAATAATATATAATTTTTACTATTTGTTATAAATTATAATTATTTTCAATTTTCTTCCGGGAGTTGGTTTATTATTGTATATTATTTAATAATTATATGAATTTAAATGTTAATAAAAATCATAAATTGAAAAGTGTTTATTATTTTAATCGTATCTTAAATTCTTTAAACATTTAAAGGATTTTAAATCGTTATTTGATTTGATACAAATAAAATTTTAATGTTTTACAAAATTAATATGAAATAGTTAAAAAATGAAAAAAAAGGTTGGATAATTAGTTTATGGCAAATATATATAATAATAATAATAATTAAAATAAAAAATTTACAAAAGTCTAAGAAATCTAAAATTTTATGGAATACTGCTATTTGCGTGCTCGTCTTTGAATTATATAAACGGAAGGAATAGGTAGAAATTTAGGTGATGACTAAACCATTCATCATGTGTAATGAGGGAGAAGTCGCTTCTTTCAATATTCTCGTATAAGTTTTAGTTGGTAACCAAGCAGAACCATGATAAACAACACTTTATTGTAAGTTGTAAAAATAATTCCATTTTAAAAAAAATTGTGGCCATTCAAAAATATGTTATATTTTCAGAATACTTTCATCTTTGAATGTCACTGTATGTGAAACTGAAGATTGTAAAAATGTTGGTATGTTTTTACATCTATTATATATTTTATTATATGTGTATATTGAGATTATATTATTTATTTAGAAATTTATCCGGATAACAAAAAAAAAAAATTGTCAATTTTTAATTAAAAATTAGTATAAAAATTAAATAAATTAGTATTAAATTTTAATTAATATGAAAGAAAAATTTGCAATATTTATAGAAAAAGAAAAAAAAACATAAGTAGAAAATATTTAATTTTTAGTAATAATAAATTTTCTAATTATTTAGTAGTTGGGCAGAAATAAAAATTACTTTATCTACCGTCAAGCTGGGTAATTATATCCATATATCCATTGCTTCTATTCTTTGTCTATTCAATTTAATTTTCAATTTATGTTTCACAATTTATTACAATTATTTTATTTAATATTTAATAAATTTAATTATTTCAAATAAGTGCGCGCTATTTTGGCCAAGGGCCAATCAAGTGATTTCAACTGAATAAAGGTTATGTTTTTTCTGATTCATATGATAGCTGGAAATACTTACAACAAATAATGTGAAACAAAATATGTGAAACAATAATATAAGGTAATTTTCATAAAAATTAATTTCGATACTTTTCCATGTGCTTTGCATGAAATGTCTTATTAAGAAAGGACACGTCATTAAAGTTCAAAATTAAAAAAAAAATTAACTTTTTCCTCGAAACGCGTACACTTTTTTCAAAATTGGGAAAATACCAAGGATCCTTATCTTATAAATTTCTTAAATCTGAAAGATTGTGCAAATCAATACAAAAACGCGATTGTAAAATGAAAAGTAGGAAAGTAGTATAATGACACGTTCATTACGTCCTCCCGCCGTTAGGTGGCAGATGCATGTAGGGAGTACAAAGTCGCAGCTGTCATATTATATTACTTTCCTTACTTTTCATTTTACATTCGCGTTTTTGCATAGATTTGTACAATGTTTCGAATTTTGTAAATTTATAGGACAAGAATCCTTGGTATGCTATCCGATTATGTAAAAAAGCTTCCTTGTTTCGAGAAAAAAATATTTTAAAATAAATTTTTATCATTTTCACGTTCAGTGCCATTTTTATAAGGCGATAATATTAAAGGTCTCTCTTTTCTAAATAATTTCAGAAACAGTTCAACACTATTAACTTAAAAAGTGTTTATTTAAAAAAAAAATATCTTTCTAATAAATATATATATATTTTAGTAGAATTTCAATGTTAATTTTTAAATTTTCAATCCAAAAAAAATTTTTTAAACTATTTTTTCTGCATTTCTTAATTGACAATTTATAAATATTTCTGCAATTATGTAGTTAGGTGACAATATATAATTTTGAGGTTATGTTGCATCCATCGTAAACATACAATTTTTACTTATTTCTGGTTTTTTGACAAAAAAGCATTTGAAAATCGTTATAGAAAAGATGGACTATCTAAAATATCCGATAAAAATTTAACGTCCAACTATCAAACACTATTTACACCAAGAGGCATATTTAAATATTTATTTAAATTTTATTCATTAAAAATCTTACGATGGGTATAATTACCCCGGGGATGGTATTATTACCCCGATTGACTGAATATTGAATATAAAAAAATTTGAAATTATTTAATATCGATAATTATTTACTAAAAATGACCCCACACAGCACCCAAAATTCCCTGAAACTTGACAGAGCCTCACACGGCGAGGTTAGGAAACTTCAGTGTCAAGGTTCATACAAGTTTGTGTCGATGTTTAAATGTCCACATGAAAAGAATATTTACACGAAACTTTGAGGAAATATTACACATAAATATTAAAGTGCAATGTTCAGTCAATGTTGTGTCAATATTGAAATTACATTTTCGCCTATAGTTATAAAAATTTCATTTACTAATATAATAAGTATAGATGAATATTGACACAACATTGACTGAACATTGCACATCAATATTTATGTGTAATATTTCCTCAAAGTTTCGTGTAAATATTCTTTTCATGCGGACATTTAAACAATTCGACACAAACTTGTATGAACCTTGCCACTGAAGTTTCCTAACCTCGCCGTGCGAGGCTCTGTCAAGTTTCAGGGAATTTTGGGTGCTGTGTGGGACTTTCGAAACTCGTTTATATATAAATACAAATTTTATTGTGCAGCTAACTTATTTTTATCGTCAATGAATAAAACGGTTGATCCATGTGAAAATTTTTATGAATACGTTTGCGGCTCTTGGGCTTCTGTGTGTCCAATTGAAGAAGAAGAATATTCAATTTGCACTATAGATACTGAATTTAAGGATGCAATTCAAATAAGCTTACAAGGTAGACATTACATTAATAAATTAATTACAAACAATAATTTTTATTTATGGGATCAGTCCATTGACTTTTGTCAAAGGCTGCAGTCCCATGGCAGCGTTTTGCGTTGCGTTTTGTCACTAGACCATGAGTGTAAAAGAGATGCAGATATATGTTTGCTATGTTTACACTCAGGGTCTAGTGACAAAACGCAACGCAAAACGCTGCCATGGGACTGCAGCCTAAGAGTTGTTGAGGTCAAATTTTTAAAAAATTTAGTTATTTTTAAATTATATTAAACTTAAACAGTTTCTTAGTTCATCAATCATAATATTATTATGGCTTAAATTTTCTTTTTTTGTATGAAATTAATAATTAAAAGTATAGAAGGATTCAGACCTTATTTTGTAACCTCAAATTTCGTCTTTTTTTAAGTAATATTATTATTCAAAAATTATTTAATATTTCTTATTGAGACTTATCAAAAGTAGGTTCATATTTCTTGATATACTTGGAAATGATAAAAAACAATAATAGTATTTGAAATTTAGCTTGACACTTTTTTGGAAGATAAATTAGAATACACTAATTTGTGTTGTCACAATATATAAAAGGTGAGTTTACAATCCGCATATTTTTTAATATTTAAAATTATTTTTTTTTATATCCAAATTATTATTGAAAGCATAATAATTAATCACAAAATAATTATGTAATTGAAATAACAATAGTATGTAAAATAATAAATATTAAACTAGAGAAGACACATAACTGGTAACATGCAGTCGCCAGAGTTGGGAATATAAATTATTATGTTCAATATTTATAGTAAAAAGTCCAAAATGTGACATCATTTTCGGGTGAATTTTTTTTTAAAGGTGTTTACACACCTCACCAGATTATGATATACCGAAAAAAATAGATACTATTTTTAGACGGAGAATTTAAAATTAATATTATAATATTTTTGAAAAATATAATGCGAATATAATGTTTATTATGTATTACAATTATAATCTATTAATTATTTTTCTTCATTACATTATTTTTTCAGAAATATTATAATATAAATTTAAATTCGCCGCCAAAAAATCGTATCTATTTTTTTCGGTATACCAAAATCTGGTGAGGTGTGTAAACACCTTTAAAAAAAACTCACCCGAAAAAGATGTCACATTTTTTGACTTTTTACTGTAAATTGAACACAATAATTTACATTCCCAACTCTGTTTATGTATCGTCTGCAGTTTAATATTTATTATATCTATACATACCATTTTTATTTCAATTACATAATTATTTTGTGATCGATTGTGGTTTTAATAATAATTCAAATAAAAAAATAATTTTAAATGTTACTTACAAATCTAACACTCCAGCGTATAATTTATTTACAAAGCTTGTCTATTAAAAATTATTAAATTTTGTGCGAAACATGACAACATAACCTAAAATTTTTCGATCCGATTCAAAATTGTCTAAATAGATAATATATTAAATTTTTCATTAATAGGAAATTAGTCATTGAAACAAACTCCCGATTAAAAACGTTAATAATGAATCTGCATTCTTAAAATTTCTGATTCACTAGACGGTGAATTTAATAAGCTTTTTTTTCCTAGGTTATCATGGATATCAAAACGTTGCATAATTTGATCCAAAGTTTAGAATTAAATTAATACCTTCAGGAAAACTGAAGTTTAATTTTCAATTGTTAAGTTTTAATATAGGTCCCAAAAAAAGTTGCAAGCTCCGAAAAATTTTAAAAAATTTTAAATGCTAATATTATTTTCAAGAAGAATATTTCTGCACCAATTTTATCACTTTTCAGTATAGAATTAAGAAATTTATACTTTTAGTAAGTCTCATCGAATATTATAAATACTTTTCTAATAATAAAAAAAAAATTTTATTTTTAAATGTAAATGGGTTACAAAATAGGGTCCCGAACCTCCTACTTTTTACTATTTAATATTAGTATAATTAAATACAGTAGTATACGTTTGCAAATATTAAATATTTTTTATACAGGAATTTTAGAAGATGACCCTAATGACAATGACAGTACAGCTTTGTCAATCGAAAGAAAATGGTATAATGCGTGCATGGATGAAGGTAATTTTTTTTTAACTTCCCTGTAAAAAAGTTGGATAGCGAGAATCGGGAAAACGTATTGAAGCTCGGTATGTTGAATCCGTTATTTGAATTTTAACATATTGGAGTGTTAGGTCGAATCCGTTGTGTGTAGTTAGTCCAATACGTTCGATTGAACATAGCGTTAAAACGAATGAAAAAACGTTTTAAATTGGGATAAAAGTGACCTTTTATTAATGAAAAGGTTAAATAAATTGTGGAGAGACCAGAATTAAGAGAATAATGGAACTTTCAATTAAAAATAATAGAATTAGGTTATTTAGTAAATGTGTTACCATTGAAGAGAACTATTCGTCGGGTAAGTATGCTACTCTTTTTACCGACAATGGATACAAGTTATTGAATTTAAATTTCTATTGTCGGTATAGAACTGAATAGAATAATTACTTTTTTCTATAAATTAATTAATAGCAGTTAATGTAAATAGTGATTAATAAAGAGACAAAACAAGAAAATTAATTAATAATAATATGTGCAATAATAAATGAAAGGAAATGAGAATAAATAAACTAAATCCTCATTTTAAAGGTAGGACAAAATTATTTATTCACGGATATTAATTGATTAATAATAAAAATAACCACAACTTTTTTACAATGCCCGCATGTATATGTTAAATAAATAAATATCATTCGTTTTAACGCTATTTTCAATCGAACGTATTGGACTAACTACACACAATGGATTCGACCTAACACTCCAATATATGTTAAAATTCAAATAACGGATTCAACATACCGAACTTCAATACGTTTTCCCGATTCTCGCTATCCAAATTTTTTTACAGGCTTATAAATGCCTATAATAGAAAATTTAAGTAGTTTATAAAAACAATAAACTCTGTTTTTGTACATATTATTAGAAAGATTACAAAAAAAAGGATACAAACCTGTGACAAAATATTTGCAAAATATTGGTGGTTGGCCAATGATAATGAAACCAACAGAATGGAAAGAAGAAGAATTTCCTTGGCAAAAAGTTGCTCAATATTATGCACGAATTTCCGGGAAATACAGTTTATTTACAATAAGTCAATTTTTAAATCCCAATAATACTGAAAACAAAATTTTAATGGTATTTAAATTTTACTATATTAACCTTTAGCCTGCCGGCGTTTATCAAAATCCATCAAAAAAGCCTAAATTTAGGACTTTCCGGCAGTCTACAAGTTAATAAATTAATTATGATTTATAATGAAATTTAAAGTTTTTGATAAAAAAAATTTTTTGGTATATCATTTTATAGTTCGATAAACTAGATGGAATTCAGCTGTTATGGAGTTATGAAGATACAGAATATGATGATGACGATGATGATGATGATGATGATGATGTTGATTATGACAATGATGTTGATTATACAAATTTGAAATTTGGTCGTCGTAATAGTTATGAAAATAGTTATGAAAGTAAATATGATGACAATGATTATAATGATGATAGTTATGACGAGAGTTATGATGATGAAGATTATGATGAAGGTGAACTTATTACAAGCATAATAGAAGATTATGCAAAATCAGTAAAAGGCAACGTGAAAAATATTCGCGATCAAGTCAATGAAATTTTAGATTTTCAAGAAGCTTTACATAATCTATTAATCGAGGTAAAAAATTAAGATAAAGTTCTATTCCTAGAAAAAAAACAGTGTATAGTTGACTATGATTAGTTAATTATTTCCTTCAAATTGTATATACTTATTTGGTTAATTTTTTATTACTCATTATAGATCAGATATGACGAGCCAAAGGACAAAAAAACTGTTATGACAATTGGTGAATTCCAAAAGCTTTATGATAGTTATGAACCTGGCAATTCAACTGCAAAGGTGATAGATTTACTATAATTATTATTTTTCATTTATAATATTATTTTATTTTTATCATCTTTATTATTTCTAATTATTTAGAACAAAAACTAAAACTTAATTTACAAAGTACATATAATTATTTTAGATTGACTGGTTAGAAATGATACATGCACTTTCAAATAATTCAGGCACTTATATTGATGAATCAGAAAAAATTTTACTATTCAGAAAATCATTTTTTGAAAAATTGGTTCCAATTTTAAAAGAAACTCCAAATCGAGTAATTGGCAAGTTGCACATAATAATATGAAATAATTTGACAATTGTAAATATGAAAAATAATAATACTATATTTTATAATTTCAGTCAATATTATTCACTGGGTATTCTTTAGAGATGCACTAATATATTTAGGTAAAGATAAAAGACCGTGGTATGAAGATATAGACGGCGAATATAGGTTATTATGAAACAATCTTTTTTTTTTATATTAATATAAATATAAAAAAAGAATAAAATAAATAAATATTTTTAAATTTATATATTTTTTTTAGATCAGAATATTGTATTGCACACATGATGGGACTTTATTTTAATACTGGTTTTTCAAAAGTTTATATTGACAATTATTTTTCCGATGATATAAAAGAATATGTAAGTGTTAATGGTAAAAGAAACCTTTTTATTAAAAAATTAGGTTCTTTATTAATAATGAGAAAAAAAAAATTATAATTTTATTTAGGCTAGTGAAATAGCAGAGGATGTAAGAAATCAAGTGAAGTCAGATATTTTAACTTCAAACTGGTTGGACAATGAGGCAAAACAATTGATAAATGATAAATTGGAATCGATGAAATTTCACATTGGATATCCTGATTATTATAAAAATAAAACTTTTCTTAATCAAATATACGATGGGGTAATTGATAGAATTTATTATTATTAATATTATTATTCTTTTCAACAATTTTATTAGATATAATGTTTGATGTTTTAGACGAATTTTCATTTTTCGAATTAACATTTGTTAGAATTTCTTGTTTAAAGGTATGTGGGCAAAGGACGTTTTTTTGTGGTTTGAAACTTTCTCTGAAATAAAAAATGATTTCGGGTTAAAATTTTGTAGAAATAATTTTGTTTGGTACAAGAAATCTAGCTGTTCCCACATACCCTTAAAGAATTTTTAGGCACCGAATCTTTATCTGGTATAGAATTATTAAAAGGTCGAATTTTTATTTTTCCGAAATTGAAAATGTCCGAACAAACAATCGCGACAGAAAGATTTCGGCGCGATTTTTAAAATCCACCAATCACAATTTTCTTCACAATTTTTGATTGGTGAATTTTAAACATCGCGCCGAAATTTTTCTGCCGATTGTTTGTTTGGGCATTTGCAATTTTGGACAAATAAAAATTCGGTGTCTTAAGGATTTTGTATAATAAAAATTCGATACATAAGAATTCTGTTAAGGCCATGTGAGAGAAAGACACTTTTTGGTAGTTCCAAGTATTCTTGGAAATGAGAAGAAATTTCGAGTTGAAATTTTGAGGAATGATAAAAAATTGTTGAAGGAATTGGGCTTTTCTACTTATTTACTGTAATTGAATGCGAAATAATTTAAAAATTTAAGTAATAGCGGAGTTAATAGGTTTTTGTTATTTCTTTGAGCGTCCACTAACTCGAATTGGCGCTAGTTCCTGGACCCCCGCCATGTTGACTTCAACTTTCGTTCAAAAATGGGAATTTACAAATTTTTATTTTTAATATTTAAACTCAAAATTGTGCTCAAAAACCGAGAACAGCGCCATTCTGAATGCTATTCTCTATCATATTTTCCAAATTTCAACCAAAAATTCTTAACCATTTTAGAAAAAACTTGAGAATACCAATACCATGTTTTTTGCATGGGGGTCACGTGGGTATTTCCCACATGGCCTTAAGAAAAAATTTGTTTAAAAATAAGAAATTATTTCAAATGTTAATTCGCAAAATAAAAATTCGTCTAAAAAATAATTATATCTAATAAAATTCTTTAAAATAAAAATTTTAACTAATGATTTTTATGGGATAATCATGCGCCCCTAAAGAAAGACCTTTGAGTCGCCCGAAAGTTGTTTGTTTTTTATGCATTTTTTAAGATTTTACACAATTAATTATTTTTAAATAAGATAATTAATTTGAATAGTACTTAACTTATTTATTTGTAAAACAATTTTTGTAAATTTAACATATTTTTTATACCTCAAGATTATTTATGTCGTTAAATAATGTCATTCATTGTCAACAAAATGCATAATGAATTTAATTATTTGAAATATTACCTCGTTTGCAAGGACGACTCTGCGCTATGGGGATTCACCAATGTTTTTTTCCCCATTGGGATTATTCTATATAATTGTAATTGTTTATTTATAATACTATACTAATTGCACCATTTTTTTTTATAAATAATGGAAGTTTGTTTTTAATATTTTAGCTTAAAGTAGGACCTAATTATTTTGACAATGTCATAAATATGTTGACATTTGACAATAACGATTTTTGGAGAGAATTTAGAGAACCATTCGATAAAGATCAGTAAGCATAAATATAATGTACATTTTTAAATATTTTTTATTGAAAAGATTTTTTAAATTTGCTATTAAGTTGTTTATTTAGTTATTTTTACTAAAATTGCAATTCCAGATTTTTGGAAAATCCTACAGTTCTCAATGCATTTTATAATGAATACGACAACAGTATAAGTAAGTTTTTGTTACTTTAACATTTTTTTTTAAAGAAAAGCTAATTGTTCAATGAAAATTCTGACTTTTATTTTTGCATTACACAGCTATACCAGCAGCAGAACTTATGGTTCCTCTCTTTAATTCAACAATGCCACTGTAAGAAAAATTTTGTTTATTAATATTATTATATTTTCATTTTTATATCTTTGAAGTATATTTTTAATAAATATTATTATTTTCACAGATCAGTAAAATATGGCTATTTAGGATTTACAGTCGGTCACGAAATAAATCATGGATTTGATAACGATGGTATAATTTTTCAATTTTGAATTAAAAAGTTTCTAACATTATTTTTATTGAATGAATTAAACATTTTTTCCATCAGACAAAGAAAATATGAGGCTGAAGTCCGCAACGTTTTCAAAAACGAACAATTAAAATACAATTATTTTTTCAAAGACAATTTATTTTTAATTTTGATTTGCACAAACTTTCAAGAAATTAATACTTTTATAGTAGCCATTTACCCCCGAAGAACTTTAATTTTAAGGTAGTATTACACTTTTCAAGCAGTAAAAAACGGGTTTAGAAAAAAATTTTTTTCTCGCTTCTTAATTTATTTAAAGGAACAAATTTTTTTTTATAACATTATATGGCATTAAAACTTTTATAATAAATAAAAAAAAATTTTTTTATTATCTCTCTTTGGTCACTAGAGGGCCTTAAAGTCAAGGCAAAAAAAAAATTTGGGCAATCGGCGGACAGGCTACAGCCTCTCAGGGACATCGGATCTGAAAAAACAAAAAACCGTTTTGAAGCTGAGACATGTCATTAAGCATCCCCCCTAACCCCGATAAAAAATATTGAAAATTAACGAAATGGCAGCGATTTAAAAAAAAATGTCAAAAATTAGGTTTTTTTTGGTTAGTTTTTGGATTGTAGCTAAAATCCAAAAAGAAATAGATAATTGGATTTAGGGGGGATGCTTAAAGAATTTAATTACGAAAAAAATGATATTTTTTTCAAAAAAATTGGTTCATTAGAACTCGAGTTATGCTGTCCGCCAGTTTCAAAAACAACGTTTCGAGAAAAACTCGATTAAGGCCCTCTAGTGACCAAAAAGAGATAATAAAAAAATTTTATTTTATTTATTATAAAAGTTTTAATGCCATATAATGTTATAAAAAAAAATTTGTTCCTTTAAATAAATTAAGAAGCGAGAAAAAAATTTTTTTCTAAACCCGTTTTTTACTGCTTGAAAAGTGTAATACTACCTTAAGCCAAATTAATACAATTATCATCTCATTATTTTTTTCCTTTTTATTTATAAAAACGTTGCGGACTTCAGTATCATAAGAAAATTATATTTTGATAAATTAATTTTTTAATTTTTATCATTAAAAAAAAAAATTAATAAAAACATAAATAAATTAATTTGTAAATTATAATCATTTGAAGGGCGCACGTATAATAAGGATGGAAATCAGTTACCATGGCTGGCTGAAGAATTGATAAATAAATACGTAAATAATGCTAAATGTTTCATCAATCAATTTGATGATTACGGGGTAATTCATATATTAACTTCGCAATTATTCAAAATAAAAAATTATATACTATATTATCTATAATTATGTTTATCCCATTAATATATGTATAGGTAAATGGATCTCTTACACAAAATGAGAATATCGCTGATTGTGCAGGGTTGAAGTCAGCATTTCAAGCTTATAAAAATAAAATGAAATCGGGAAACTATCAGGATATTAGATTACCAGGATTGAATGGTCTCAGTGGCGATCAATTATTTTTCGTTTCATTTGCTGCTGTAAGTTTTTATTTACAATAAGAATTACATTGAGAGACTTTTTGTTTGAAAATTTAATATAGCACACCTCTTCTCAGCAAATTCAAGAGTCATTAAAATGGTGACTCAAAATTATGGTTGCATCTTTTAAAACACATCTAAAATAGTCAAATGCAATTTTGCAGAAAATCCCAGCTGCTCCCCTTTTCAAAATATTGACGAAAACGTTTTTTTTTAAATAACAATCATTGAATTTGTAAATTAAAACCGGTTTTAAATATATACATGTTGTAGGCCGATAAAAAAATCAGGCAAGTAGCTAAAAGCCTAGGCGATTAGCCAGTAGACAAAATCAGGCTGTTAGAGGAATAAGCTGTTAAAGGGCTACTGGACTGATTACTGTTAGGCAATTAGAATAAACACCATAAAACACTAATTATAATTGTATCTTTTTCTTGTTTAAATCTCCATTTTAGTTTATTATAAATTTAATTTAATTAAACATTAGGATAAATCTCGGAGAGTTGGAACACCTGTTCTATATCCGAAAATATTTTAAAAACTAATTTTATTTTTTCATGGAAGTGTCTAACAATAAATTAGCAAAATTCTCATTATGTATCATTATTTTAATTTAGCGAATTTTATTGAATGTTGCATGAAATTCACCCACAAAGTTTATGATCTGTCTATATAAAAAATATAGACCAAGAACATTTTCTCTACACTGAAGCTTCACTTATTTTAAGTCCCACTTATTTCAACCATTTAACCATCTTATTTTTACTTAGACGAGACCGATCGCGCGAGTTTATTTTATTTTATCATAACTACAAACAATTTTAACAATAAATAAATTTTATTAACTAATGATATTTATTATTAGTCATACAATTCTGTATACACATAATTTTTAACTATATCTCAACATCTTTCAAGAATCTTCAAAGAATTCTTTCACATTCATTTTTAACACTACTTAACGTCAGTAAATATCCTTCTTTTTTTAACTTGTCAAGAACTATCAATTCCATTGGTTGTTGCTAAATCAACCAACCAATCAGATTAATTCAATCATAAATAATGAAACAGGCATTGAGGTTAAAATAAGTGCCAATTTTTCATCAGAATTTTCTCCGGAAAATAAATTGAAAATTTCTTAATTAACTTCCATCTATCAATTTGTTGTCTTAAAATAGTATTATTTTCAATGAAATTTCATGTTTCGTCTCACCCAGACAATTTCATCTCTCCTAGAATTGACATTTATTTTCAAAACAAATTTTTTAAATATCAGAAATAATAAAAATTCAAAACTGATTTTCAGGTTTATATAGAAGCATTCAAAGTAAATCATCGCACTTGAATAGGTTTGCGATGTTAATTTCTTTTAAAATTACAAAGGTTTGAAAAAACGTGTTCCATCTCTCTCTCGGATTTACCCTAGTAATAAAAAAAGGTAATTAGAATCACCCCCTCAGTTTTTTAATTAAAAAATAACGTTTTCAGCAATATTTTGAAAAGGGGAGCAGCTGGGATTTTCTGCAAAATTGCATTTGCCTATTTTGGATGTGCTTTAAAAGATGCAACCATAATTTTGAGTTACCATTTTAATGACTCTTGAATTTGCTGAGGAGAGGTGTGATAGCATTTTAATTTATAATTAAATAACTTCATTTAATTAAATTGAACATATTTTACATTTTTTTTTATCAAGATAAACTATTTTCTCCGTCAGTTTACACTTATTTCTTAATAATATTCATACTCGAAAATTCATACACGTTTATAGTAATTTATTAATTAATTACCGCTTTATTTATTACAATTCTTGTTCGAATCGATTCTACAAATACCCATTTACCTTTTCCAAAACATTTTTTCATCATTGTTTATCGATTAAGATTGTCGAATAGTCTCTGAAATTCTTTGGCAAAGAGAGACCTTTAATTATCGCCCTATAAAAACGGCACTGAACGCGTGAAAATGATAAACATTGATTTTAAAATACTTTTTTCACAAAACACGGATACTTTTTACAAAATCGACCAAAATATCAAGGATCCTTGTCTTATAAATTTCCTAAATCTGAAAGATTGTGCGAATCCATAGAAAAACACGATTTCAAAACGAAAAGTAGGAAAGTAATATAGTGACAGGTTCATTACGGCATGCCGCCGTCAGATGGCAGAAGCATGCAGGAAGCTCAAAGTCGCAGCTATCATTATATTACTCTCCTACTTTTTGTTTTGCAATCACATTTTTGTTTATAGATTCGCACAATCTTTCGGATTTAGAAAATTTATCGAATAAAGATCTTTGGTATTTTGGCCGATTTTGTAAAAAGTATCCGTGTTTTGAGAAAAAGTATTTTAAAATCAATGTTTATCATTTTCACGTTCAGTGCCTCACAGTAAACTTGGTTGTATCTTTTTCTATTGCAACGTTTTGATGCACATAAGTTATATCAAAAAGAGATCGTTTTGTGTATCATTTTTAGAAATGATACACGAAACGGTCTCATTTTTTGATGCAAAAAATTTAATCAATTTATATCAATCATGGCCGAATTGAATCGACTCAAAATTAAACGAATTTTTTTCAGATATTTTGGTAATAGTACAATTGCGGAGACCATTTCACTATTTAATTTGAAAATGAAAATAACAGAAAATCAAAGACAATGTGCAATTCGATAATTAAAAAGTGACAGCTTATAAACATAACCTAAAATGCATGAGAAAAAATTTGTTGATAAAATCAATATAGCCGAGCTTTTTAGAAGGTAGATGGCAGTTTTGCTTTTTATAAAAACGATTCAGAAAAAATTTAAAGAAAGAAAATAGATGAGTGCTGCCATCTACCTTCTAAAATGCTCGGCTATATTGATTTTATCGACAAATTTTTTCTCATGAATTTTAGGTTATGTTTATAAGCTGTTACTTTTTAATTATCGAATTGCACATTGTCTTTGATTTTCTGTTATTTTCATTTTCAAATTAAATAGTGAAATGGTCTCCGCAATTGTACTATTATCAAAATATCTGAAAAAAATTCGTTTAATTTTGAGTCGATTCAATTCGGCCATGATTGATTTAAATTGATTGAATTTTTTGCATCAAAAAATGAGACCGTTTCATGTATCATTTCTAAAAATGATACACAAAACGATCTCTTTTTGATATATCTTATGTGCATCAAAACGTTGCAAAGATTTGATGCAATTTTTGGTCTCAATTTGATACTTTTAGGAAAACTGTGCTTTTTTATAGGGCGATAATTGAAGGTCCCTTTTTGCCCAAGAATTTCATAGTTTATATAGGTTAGGTGATTCTGTTATTTATTTATTTTTTTTAATTTATCATTGAAATTTAATATAGAACATACCAATTTTTTATATCAAAATTCGGATTTTCCTTACTTTGAAAAGTCACCATATTATAAACTTAGACATAAAAAATTCTAACATTTGAAACACAAAGTCTCTCACTGAATCAAGTTTTGAGTACCCGGTAACAAGGTTGGAATTGAATAGAATAAATAGAATTTATTCGTGAAAAATAAAAAAAAAAATACAAAAATAGGAGTCGAAGCCAGGCTTTCTCGTTATAAGTTTGTGAAGGAGCGACCAATTAGCCGCACGTTAACTTAAAATTATATATTTAATTTACAGAAAGAAAACTCTTGATATATCAAACTGAAAAATAATTAAAGAGGATTAAAAAAAATCAAAATGAATTCCATAAACAGAATTAAAAACTTTGATTATCAAATGTCGATATAATAAGTGAATTTCCCAAATAAAATATAGAATTAATAAATTTACAATTTTATAGATATTTAAATATTAGGTATTTTTAATTCTTTTCAATTCAAGCCTTTTTTCCGGATATAAAATTAATTAAAAAATTTCCAAACAGAAAATATAAATTATTTATAATATTATTATTTTAGTCACTTTGTACAAATATAAGCCCCGAATTTGAGGAATATTTGATGAAAAACAATGAACATTCGGTTCAACCTTATAGAGTTAATGGTGCGGTGTCTAATTTAAATGAATTTTCAAATGCTTTCCATTGTTCTGAAAGCAGTCCTATGCATCCAAAAAATAAGTGCAAATTATGGAAGTGATTTTATGGGATAATTTATATTCACGAAGGACAAACTTTTTACTCCACTAGAGTATAATTTAAAAATTTTATTATAATATAACATTTAAATCTAAATATACAAATATATATATATATATATAGAATTAAAAAATATGTAAATTTTATTAGAAAATAGTTCTTTATTTCAAAATATGTGGAAATTATTTACATTTTTGTGGCGCATATAACGAATAAATAATCATATTTTATTTGACGTCATTTAAATGTGATTCTTTAAAAGATTTGCGTAATTGCGTGAAAACAAGTTGAATTTTGCAGCTTCACGCGCAAGTTTAAAAGGAATATAGAAGCGAAAAAAAAATATCAGGAGGCGGTTCAACAATCCATTTTATCTCAGGAAATTATACGGAAGTTGTTGTGTTTTACAGTTCTTTCAAATAAGACACCATTCACTGAAATCATGTCCTCTATCATTTTATTGTAAGTAGTTTTACTCTTTTTTTTTTTTTAGATGAAAAAAATATAATCTTTTTTTTCTGCATGACTAGACAAATTTTAATTTTTTATCTTAATAAAAATAGCAAATTAATAAAAAAAAAAAGTTCAGAATTTTAAAATATTTAATTATACACTTTGAATCAGAATTAACGAAAATCATTGGAATTTTCACTAATGATTTAAAACAATGAAATTTCATAAATTTCACTAATTTGAAATTTCATTTTTTTAGCTAATTTTCAATTAAATAAATGTGTAACAGTAAGTTATTACAATATGTTAATTTATTATATTTCATCTAGGGTCGTTGAGAAATAATTTTAAAAAAATTTTATAATTCGTAATCATCATTTTTCATATCCGTAAAATTCATTTTTGATAATTATTTATATATATATTTTTTTTATTTATATTTATATATTTTTTATATTTACCTCAGAATTTAAAATTTAAAGATGAATTGCACTGTAAAAACTTTAATTTAACAGCTGTAAAAATTTAATAAAAAAAGAACGATAATGTCAATTTCTTAATTGATAATATAATATTCAAAATACTCTACATATCTGAATTAGTAAAATTTTTAACTAATTTGAATTTGTGAATCATTTTTTGCCTTAGAATTAGTAAAAATTAATTAATAAATACTAAAAAATTATTTTTACTATTGAATTAGTAAAATTTATCTCATTCAACAAATTTTGTTACTATCGAATTATTAAAATTTAACTAATTCAAAAGCAAAAAGTGAGTCACTAATTAAAATTAGTGAAAATTTTTACTAATTCAAATTTAGAGAGTAGTCTAATTTACTTTTAATGTTAATTGATTATTGTATAAAAACAACCAAAATATTATAGAATTTTGAAACTTATCTGTGAAATGTAGCAAAATTTAAAAACATTTCAATCAAATTTTTCCTAGAAAATTTTCTAAATAAATTTTTATTAGAACTCAAATTCCGAGGTAAATGTATAAAATTTTATTAAATAATTGACAAAAATACGAATATGAAGTAAGTTATTGAATATAAAAAATGTTGATTATGAATTATAAGATTTTTTTAAAAATAAGCTGCTATTACTTCAGGTAAAATATAATTGATTAACTTAATAATAATTAAATAAAATTTTCTGTATGAATTTATAATTAATTTTCTCATTATCAGAAATAAAGTAATATATATATATATATATATATATATATATATATATACACTGTTAGAAACAGCTGTATTAAATTTAATATTTTGTATATGATATGCAAATATGCATAATCATTAAAATTTAATATACATTTTTGTTAAGTTTAATATAAATTTACATTAAATTTAAAACATTTTTATTAAATTTAATATTGTAAAACTTTGTAAAGGTATACAGAATGGAGAAAATAAATCTAAAAGCTATTAAATTTAATAAACATTTACAAAATGTCTATTTTTAATGAAAATGTATATTAAATTTCAATACTATTTATACATTATTTGCTTCATGTAAAAAAAAAATTAAATTTAATACAGCCTTTTTCTAAAAGTGTAGTGCAACCTCTAAAAAGTTGATATAAATTTTTACAGTCTTACCGTTTTCGATCGTAAAAAATTTAATTTAAAATTATTGCAAAATAAGTAAATTTTTAATTATTTTTCAATATGGTTTAATTGTAGTACATAGGTATAAAGAAAATGAAAAAAGTTAATAAAATAAAAATAAATAAAAAATTTATATCAATTTTAGAGCTGGTATTCAATGAAATTTCACTGCTTGAAGTAATAAAAAATGTTGAGTCATTGACATTTTTAGTGAAATCTTTAATAACTCAGATTTGGATGAGATTAATTTATAATTTTGGAAATTCCAAACGTAATTCATTGTAATATTATTCTTCTAAAGAGATTTTTTTTATTACGATGAGTACAGGTTTTTTTTTCGTAATAATCATTCATTAAGTAGTTCTTATCAATTGATTTATCTCATCTACCGGATGTGGTTTGAAAAATGCAATATTTGACCATTAATACTGTATGAATTCACATTCTAACATCACTACTATTATTAAATAGTATAATAATCTGTTACATTATTTTTTACATGTATATTTAAAAGAGGAAAAATGTGAAAACATTTTAAATAAATTTTAAATTAACATATTTTTAATATAAACAATTTTTCTCTTTTATCAAAAAAAAGAAACATTATAAAAACAGAAAAATTCTTTTAAAAAATAGATATGAGAGATTCTTTTTCAATCGCCCCAGCCCAAAAAGTCAATGTTCTGGGATTGGCTTCATACTTTGGTAAATTGTTGTCCTATATGATAGTAATAAATCCCCAAAATATAAACTCATTAAAAAAATATTTGTAGAAAGTAGAGGGGGTTGAAGTTTTGACGTTAAGGGTAACATTGTCATTTTCAAATCCGTATAACTATGACAAAAGTTAATGGATTTTAATTTATCTATAATGAATTTTATTGCATTTTTCACGTACTTTTCAAAAATGTTTACGAAATTTAAAAAAAAAAATTTTGACCCCTTTTTTTTCAAAATCAACCCTTATTTTTCAATTTTCACCCCTTCGGGAATTTTTTTTTGTTTTTTTTTATTTTCATTGGAAAGCTGAGGTTTTTTCCCATGAGCTATGTAAATATGAAAATGGGACAACAATAATTTTGTGAGAAACATAATATTAAATTAGGCGGTGCCTATCTAAATCCTCAAAGATGATCTCCAGGTACACCCCTTATCGGCACCGCCTACTTTAATATTCTGTTACTCACAAAATTATTGTTGTCCCATTTTCATATTTACATAGCTCATCGGAAAAAACCTCAGCTTTCCAATGAAAATAAAAAAAAAAAAAAAAAAAATACCCGAAGGGGTGAAAATCGAAAAATAAGGGTTGATTTTGAAAAAAAAGGGGTTAAAATTTTTTTTTTTTAAATTTCGTATACATTTTTGAAAAGTACGTGAAAAATGCAATAAAATTCATTATAGATAAATTAAAATCCATTAACTTTTGTCATAGTTATACGGATTTGAAAATGACAATGTTACCCTTAACGTCAAAACTTCAACCCCCTCTACTTTCTACAAATATTTTTTTAATGAGTTTATATTTTAGGGATTTATTACTATCATATAGGACAACAATTTACCAAAGTATGAAGCCAATCCCAGAACATTGACTTTTTGGGCTGGGGCGATTGAAAAAGAATCTCTCATATATAAAATTATCTCAATCAAACAACATTTTAAAAGATTTTAAGCATTAAACTAAATAAATAGAATCTGGTCCCTATTTGACAGAGAATACTATAACCTTTTGTATCTTATTAAACAATTATTTTTTTTAATTGTCCACAAATTATTTAAAGGTAAAATTTTCAAAAAAAGCTTACATAATTTGTGGACAGCCCCTTAATAATAAATGTCTTGACAGAACAAGCTTTATCTACTTAAAAGTCATTGTTTTGCCTGAGAAGATATTGTTCCTTCTACATAAAAATGTAAAAGTTTGCATGAGACCAATTTTAAACTTTTTGTTACTTAAAAATAAATATACCTTTTTCCTCTCAAAAGTGAATTTTAATCTATAGAAGTAAATTAGTATCATTGCTCGATAGTTGATTACAAATCTGGCATTAGATTTTTAACATTCAAAATGGTGGATCCAATATGGGAAAATTTTTTTTAATTCCGATTTACTTAAAACTTGTTGCTTTGGAGATTTCGGAGTCCCTGATTTACCGAATGCTGTGAATGTAGAAATATACCTCACCAATAGTCGATAAAGAAAATTTTTTATTTACCGCCGCTGATAATGTAGGGACATACTTTACCATCAGTAGCCAAAGAAGAAAAGAATATCTTAAATATCAAGAAAAAACTCTGTATTAAAGTAGATTAAAAATTTTTTTAAACGATTTCGATCAATTCTTAAAGTTTCAAGAGAATTCGTTGAATTTTGAAATATGTCTGCCATATTAGATCCATCATATTGGATTTTGAAAAATTCAAAAACAAAAATCAAAAACTAATTCAGCTAAAGATATTGAGTTTGTTTCATTAATCGGAGCGTCCTTAATTAATTGCTTTTTTATTTTTACTTATTATTTATTTTCCTTTATTTTTTCTGCTTGAAAATAAATGTAAATCCTAAAAGAAATAGGTACTTTCTCATATCTAAAAGTATAAATTTCATATCTCGCAAATATAAATTTTTTCTTTTAAATATTTAAAACAATAATAACGTATTTTCAAAAATTATCCCCTCTCAGATTATTTTTAGTGAGTTTAAGTCCAGTATTTCCAAGAAAAAGAGAATACACAATCTGTGATAATGAAGAGTGCAAATACGTTGGCAAGTAATTTTCTTATATGATTAATTTTATTACCTAATATATTGTAGGTATTGTTATTTTACAAAAATTTAATTTAATTTGATAAATAAATAATTGCAGCTAATTTAATTTTGAGTGGAATGAATCAAACAGTAAATCCCTGTGAAGATTTTTATAGTTTTGTATGTGGGTCTTGGTCCAACAATCATCCAGTTCCAAAAACAAAGGAAAAATGGAATCTTAATACAATGCTTGATGAAAAAATACAAATTGATTTGAAAAGTAAGTTGAAAAAATAAAGAAATTAAAAATATATATATTATATCCCAGATAGCAACCCAATTTTGCAGGAAGTTAACGACCATAAATTCAGAAGTTAACACTGTTAACTTCCCGTTAACATTACAGAAGTTTTAAATGTCCACAGAGTTTAAGTTAACACTGTTAACTTCCTGGCATTTAAAAAGCTAAATTCGCCGAAAGTTTTTTTAGTACATAGGGAAATGTGATTAAAAAGTATTGCGCAGCCCTAGCTGCTATAGAAAACATCTGCGCATGAAAATAGATTTTTAAGTTTACCCTAAAAATTTTGTATAAAATTACAAAGGAAAACTTTCAGCAAGTTAACTTTTCTAAGTTTCAACAAGTTAACAGTGTTAACTTAAACTCTGAGGACAAATAAAGCTTCTGGAAAGTTAACGGGAAGTTAACAACGTTAACTTCAAAACTTATCGCCGTTAACTTTCTGTTAACTTCCTGTAAAGTTCGGTGCTATCTGGGATATATGTATATTCAATTCACCGGAAAAAAATATTCTTTGTTTGAGAGGATGTTTCTTCTTCTAAAAAATCATATACAATTTTTTACTTGAAATAAGAGTATTATCCTTCAACTAATACTATTCTTCTTTCCTTATAAGAGGATAAAAATGATAGGACGAATTTTATCAGTTTTCATTCACATTTAGAACAATATTCTCGGTTGAAGAATATTTGTCTACTTTTGAGAGGATTTACTATATATAATTAGAATTTGCACATTATTATTATATTTTCTCATATTACTAGGAAAATTTGCATAAAAACTGAGAGTAATCCTCCTTTTACAATTTTTTTTTTTTAATAACAGTTACAAAAATTGAATTTTTATTTCAGGTATTTTAGAAGTAGATATAACAAACAATGACACACTGGCGTTACAAGTAGAAAAACAGTGGTATGCTGCATGTATGGATGAAGGTCCGTAGTAGTAAAAATTAGAAATTTTAGTATACTTTTTAGAATTTTAAATAAATTTTACTAAATGAAAAGAACTATAAAAATTTTAGTATAAAAATTGTCTTTCTTTCTTAATTTTTCCTCATTAGAAAGACTTCGAAAGAAAGGATTTGAACCAGTTACAAAATTATTAGAAAATGTAGGTGGATGGCCATTGGTTTGTAATGATTGTAAATGGAATGAATATGAATTCTCTTGGCAGAAAGTGGCAAAATATTATGCAGGCTTTTTTGGAGAATACAGTTTATTTTCTATTAGTATCGATTCTCTTCCTAATAATTCGACCATAAAAGTTTTAACGGCAAGTATACAAATTAAAAACAATTTATTTTAAATATTTTAAAAAAAGAATATATATATATACTAAATTTAAGGGTAAAGTTGCATTTAAATATTCTTCAGTATGTTTTAAGACGATATATTGTTAATTTTAGAATAATTTTTTTTCTGTATAATGTAGAAATTACTCAAAAATGTCATATGCACTTTTAAATAATTTCATAATCGACAAAATTCACTTCAACTAAATAAACAGATGAAATTTTAGTTGGATCGAACAAGTTATTCTTTATTTCGTACCCTACTACCAATTGGCATTGATGAAGATGATTATTACGACGGAAATATTGAAAATGATGATAACGATGATGATTCTATTTATATGGAAGAAGAAAAAAAACTTTTGATAACAGTAGTGAAAGCTTATGCCAAATCAATTGGAATGACAAAAGAGATTAATAATAAGGAAATTCAAAAAGTGATCAATTTCAAAAAAATGTTAAAAAAGGTATTTTATCATTACAATATTGAAAATTCGCTTCAAATATATATATATTTATAGGGTGCGTTAAAATAATTCCGGACACCATAAATTTTTAATAAAAATATTTTTTACACACAATGTATATTATATTTGAGAATTTTCTTAGATTAAGAGAGTCCACTCAACTAATAATTCATCTTTAATGACTATTTTTGAATTGCAACAATTCTATGATGAACATAATACTGGATCTTCTTCATCGAAGGTACATCATTATTATTCATTTTTATTATTCTATTTTTAATTATTTATGCAATGAATGAAATTAATAAGTAATCTATTAACTTATTTATAATATTATATATTATTTATAATATTCATCATAAATAATGTTTTAGATCAATTGGTTGGAAATTTTTCGAGCTCTATCAGTAAATTCAGACATAAAAATTAATGATGATGAAAAACTGTTACTTTTGGATAGAGGATATATTATCAAATTAGCTAGACTTTTAAGTCAAATATCTCACAAAACAATTGGTATAGTTTTGTTTAAAAAAAAAATTATATTATATATTACACATAAATTGCAAATAAAAATGTTTGTTACTTTTTTGAAATTTATTTTTAGTTAATTACATTCATTGGACATTTGTTAAGGATTCTTTGAAATATTTGGATAAAGAGAAGAGACAATGGTACTCGAATTCGTTGAACACGATTTATGGAATTAAAGAAGACAAAAAACGGTTCTTTAAATATAATTTGCAAATTTTGAAAATTTAAAACTTAATTTTAAAACTTAAATTATTAAATTGACATTTAAAAAAATGAAATATTAAAAACTTTAATATTATAAAAATTTTAAAAGTTATTTTATTATTATTTATTGCTAGTTTTTTACTTTTGTAAAAATTTATTTTACATATTTTATGAAAATATAAATGTGATTATTTATTATATTATATTTATTTATTAATCTAATTGTTATAATTTATTTGCAGATGGGAATATTGCATTGAACACTTACCTCTTGTTCATGGCTATAATCAAGCTTACATAAAAAAATACTTTTCCGAAAGTTCAAAAGTAATTGTGAGTAGAAAAATTAATAATTAAAATTTTACAAATCAATGAATGGTCAATTCTCCCAAAATATTCCTTTTGACTGTCTTTGTAAATAATAATTTTCTAAAAATCCAATCATATTTCGTTACTTTAACACTTTTTCTAAAAATTCTAAGAAAACAAGTTGTAAATTCAGATGTTCATTACATGAACATTTTGCTTCCTCTTTACGATCAGCAAAAAAATTTGCTTCCTCGTGGAGAAAGCAAAATTTTATTGACAAAATGTGAATTTTTGATTTTTTAACTTTCATTAATTCTTTAAATTTACCTCAAATGAATACTTTATATATATGTATATCGATCGATTCGTCTTGACGTAAAGAATACGATTTTATTATATATAACCTTAAATTTTTCTATTTAAAAATTTTTTCGATTAAAAAAAAATTTTTTGAAAAAAGACCATAAAATTTTTTTTTTGGAGTATTTTTCAAAATCCTTTGGTCAGATTTGAGATATTAATACGATAAATGAGCCTACTAAATTTTATCTAAATCCATTAAAACCTGTTAAAGTTATCTTCTAAACAAAAAAGGGATCCATACACACACACACAAACATACATCCGGACAATTGATCAGGATCTCATATAACATGTTTCTATAAAGAAAAAAATTTGTTTCCGCCACTTTGAAAAGTTTTATAATCGAAAGGACTACAAAGCTTCCTCCACGAGGAAGCAAAAAATTCAATTTTTCTTAGGCAGACGATTTTATTGCATATTCTTGCACAAAATACACCGAAAAGTGTACAAAAAAATTGACACCCAGATCCGAGTAGAGGAAGACCCTTTTTATGACCAAAAACGCATCCAAAAGCATAAAAAACTTACCAAAAAAATTCAATTTTTCTTAGGCAGACGATTTTATTGCATATTCTTGCACAGAATACACCGAAAAGTGTAAAAAAAATTTACACCCAGATCCGAGTAGAGGAAGACCCTTTTTATGACAAAAAACGCATCCAAAAGCATAAAAAACTTACCAAAAAAATTCAATTTTTCTTAGGCAGACGATTTTATTGCATATTCTTGCACAGAATACACCGAAAAGTGTAAAAAAAATTTACAACCAGATCCGAGTAGAGGAAGACCCTTTTTATGACAAAAAACGCATCCAAAAGCATAAAAAACTTACTAAAAAAATTCAATTTTTCTTAGGCAGACGATTTTATTGCATATTCATTCACAGAAGACACCGAAGAGTGTAGAAAAAAATTGACACCCAGATCCGAGTAGAGAAAGACCCTTTTTAAGACCAAAAACGCATCCAACAGCATAAAAAACTTACCAAAAAAATTCAATTTTTCTTAGGCAGATGATTTTATTGCATATCCATGCACAGAATACACCGAAAAGTGTAGAAAAAAATTGACACCCAGATCCGAGTAGAGGAAGACCCTTTTTAAGACCAAAAACGCATCCAAAAGCATAAAAAACTTACTAAAAAAATTCAATTTTTCTTAGGCAGACGATTTTATTGCATATTCTTGCACAGAATACACCGGAAAGTGTAGAAAAAAATTGACACCCAGATCCGAGTAGAGGAAGACCCTTTTTAAGACCAAAAACGCATCCAAAAGCATAAAAAACTTACTAAAAAAATTCAATTTTTCTTAGGCAGACGATTTTATTGCATATTCTTGCACAAAATACACCGAAAAGTGTAGACCTGTTAAAGTTATCTTCTAAACAAAAAAGGGATCCACACACACATACATACATCCGGACAATTGATCAGGATCTCATATAACATGTTTCTATAAAGAAAAAAATTTGTTTCCGCCACTTTGAACAGTTTTATAAACGAAAGGACTACAAAGTTTTTTCCAGGAGTTAGCAAAATTATTGTTTATTTTAATGATTGTGACATTTTTGTGATTTTTAGGGTCCCACAATCATTTCTTTTACATTGGGTATTTGTTAATATATTTCAGGAACCACAAAACATTTTTTAAGTTTCAAAAGAGCTTTTTATGTTAAAAATTTTAAAACTTAAGAAATGTTTTGTAGTTCCTAAAGTATTTTAAAAAATCTCCGGGCATGTTTTTCTACAACCTAGCAGCTAGGCGGCGAAAAGCAGGGTGTCCGCAAGTCAGAGAATTTTTAAAAATTCTTTAAAAGTCAGGGAATTTTGATTAAAAGAAACCACAAATTAAAAGACTTTGATACATAAATGTCAATTCAGTTTTTTTTATTTAGACGTTTTTGTTATTAAACAATTTTTAATTATCTTATCTTTTTCTTTATGAATAAAATTGTTACTTAAAAAGCATTATAAAAATTTCAATCAGCAATGTAGAATATTAAATAATTCAAAAGTTTTTTAGTCAGGGAAAAGTCAGGGAATTTTGAAAATAAAATTTTGCAGCCACCCTGGAAAAGTGATGATAACATTTTTTATGTTTCAAAAAGCAAATTAAAGCTAAGATCTTAAACATTTTGTTGTAAAAGTTTAAAATTTTTTCATACATTACTCTAGATTATGCCGGGAGTCAAAAAAATTAGTACAAAAATAGGAAAATTGTAGGGGAGGATGGGGCATGAATAGTTAGGTAAGACGTTTTCGAATCTAGCGACCAAACTTGAACGAGTAGTACTTTTGGAAAGCCTGGTTATTTGGCTATAATTTTGCTATACATTATTTTCCTGTAGACTGTAATCCCTACGAGATACGAATGAAAAAGTAAAAAAAATTTAACTATCCTTGCCCCAGTACTGGGGCAAGGATAGTTAAAAGAATCCGAATGCTAAAAATGTTCAGGTTTTACTTTTAACGTAGAAAAAGTTACTTTATACGTTTTTCCATTTTTCTCCATGAAGAAGTAAAAAAAAAATTCTTGATATATACATTCAGACGCAAAATTTTGTTTTCCAACTCACAAAAAGGAATATTTCGGGCGAATAAATCACGAATATATATAGTTTATAATAATGCTATTTCACAGTAGAATTTATAATTATTATTTTAAAGGCTAGCAAAATGGGTGATGAATTACGCGAAGGAGTTGAAAAACAAATAAATCGAGCCAATTGGATGGATGAAAATACAAAATTTGTAGCTCAACAAAAACTTAAAGCTATGAAATTTCATATTGGCTATCCTGAAACATTCAAAAATGAAACATTTTTTGATCACGTTTACGATGGTGTAAGAAAAGAAAAAATTTAAACCCAAATTTTTTTAGCTTTCTAATTTTTTTTTATATTTTATTTTATTTAATAAAAAAAAATATAAAAACGATTTAATTTGCAGCTCAAATTGGGACCAGATTATTTTAAAAATGTTTTAAGTTACTTTATACATGGTACAAAACAATCGTGGGATGTATTTAGAAATTCAGCTGAAAAAAATGAGTAAGTATAATGTAATTAAAAAATTTTTTTTCAGTATTAATTAATAATACATTACCTATATTAAAGATTGTTATTTTTAATAATTGTAACAAAAATTTTGAAATGTAAAAATTTTTTTGAAAGTGTTTACTTTTTAGGTTTGCTATTTTGCCAACAACTGCTAATGCCGTTTACTATATGCCCGACAATGCTCTAAGTATAATAATAATTATATTTCTTTACACTATTTCTATTGCAAAATATTTATTTTTTTTTTTTGAATATGAACTTTTTTAAAAACGAAAATTATTAATACAGTCGTGTCTCCGTACCGTGCACCTTCTAACCCCTGTGTGTGACTTCATAGCGTGCAATGACGTCACCAACTTTCAGTGCCGTATTCTAAAGACCGATCGTAAAGCAAAAAAGTGATCTTTTAAATGCTTTTAATTTTATTTGTTAAATAAAAAAAATAAAGATATATTGATCTATTTGTTAAAAACGTGAAATTATTTCATAAAACAAAAAATTATTTCAATAAAATTGAAGTTACTTGTATGGCACCCGCAAAGTACCTTATCAGACGAGCCTGAAAAGGTGTGTAGTAGGGGTGATTTCAGAGCCGCACGATACGGAATTATGGAGAGAGGGAAATTTGAGAAAACTGCACGGTACGGAGATACGACTGTATATAGAAACAAAAAAAACAGAATTTAATTTAATTTAATGATAGCTATACCTGCTGCTCAACTCAAATCACCTTTATTCAATGCTGCATTACCAACGTATGTTAACAAAATTTATTTAAATATTTATTTTATATATTTTTTAAATAAAATTAATTTTGTTAAATAACATTTTTTTATAGGGCTGTTAATTATGGATCTACAGGTTTTATTATGGCTCATGAAATTTTTCACGGTTTTGATAATGAGGGTATGTTTTTTTAAATATCTACATACATAATAATAATAATTATAATAATATCTATAATGAATTAAGTTTTAAAAAAAATTTCATTCTTAATTTAACATTTATTTTAACTTTCCTAAGGTCGAATGTATGATAAAAATGGAAATAAATTGAATTGGTGGTCAGATAGGATGATTGAATTATACAAAGAAAAATCAAAATGTTTTGTTGAACAATTTAATAACTACAAGGTACGTAACTTTTAATATTTTTATCTTTTTGAGTCATTCCATCATATTTCGACTAATGTCGTTGCCGATTAATTTTAAAAAATTATGGGTAAGTCCACGTCAGAAATATCAGAATCTGCAAGTGGTTCTTCGATTTTAATGATACTTGGTAAAATTATAGCTTTATATAAGAGCAATGTGTAAGTAAAAGGAATTTTTAAAATATCTAAAATTGTAGGAATTATATCACTTTTAATTTTGATACTGCATTTTTTTTCTTTCCTTTATATCTCGGTCAATTTTTAACCGATTTTGATGAATCAAAAACGATTTTTTTCAGTAAATTACGTATTTTCAGAAAATTTTAAAATAAAAATAAAATTTTGTTATTTAAATAGAAAAAAGTAAAAAACAAAATTTCTTTTAGATTTTTTTTCAATTTTGACCTCTTTTTTTAATTTTTAATTTTTTAATAATATTCCTTTTTATTTTATCTTTAATTTAAAGAAAATTCATCCTGGAGACTTTTTAAGATCTCGTGATATCGTCCTTTAAGTATTATAAGTCTTCATCAATTTGAAAACCGCAGGACTTGCTTCTATCATTACTTTCATTTGTTTGTTGAAATTTTTTATGGTTATGAATAACTATTTGTTTTAGAATCCTCTAAAAGAAAGTGTTAAAAACTTAAGCTACAATTTCAGGTTGCATTGTTAAGGTTTCATTACAATTTATTTTAAATTATAAATATTACAAAAATAAAAACTTTGCTTCAAATCTATTAATAAAATATTGATTTGCTTGAATTTTCACTTGTTTTAGTCAAGTATTATAAAAATAAAAACATTATTACGCGAAAGTTTCTATTTTGTAACAATAATATTATAAAACAAATGAAAGTAGAAACACAAATCTGGATCCTAGTTTTCTTGAGATGTGGATATTTAAAGAACGATATCACGAGATCTAAAAAAGTCTCCAGGATGAATTTTTTTTTAAATTAAAGATAAAATAAAAAGGAATATTATTAAAAAATTAAAAATTAAAAAAAGAGGTCGAAATTGAAAAAAAATCTAAAAGAAATTTTGTTTTTTACTTTTTTCTATTTAAATAACAAAATTTTATTTTTATTTTAAAATTTTCTGAAAATACGTAATTTACTGAAAAAAATCGTTTTTGATTCATCAAAATCGGTTAAAAATTGACCGAGATATAAAGGAAAGAAAAAAATGCAGTATCAAAATTAAAGTGATATAACTCCTACAATTTTAGATATTTTAAAAATTCCTTTTACTTACACATTGCTCTTATATAGGTATTTTTTACCAAGTATCATTAAAATCGAAGAACCACTTGCAGATTCTGATACTTCTGACGTGGACTTACCCTTATAATACTTTGCAGAAATGATTTTAAAGAAATCAATATCACGAAATAAAAATAATTTTATTAAAATTTTTATTATTTTTTGTAAAATATGGATTTAAAATATATGAGGTGCTAGAAACTGTAACTTTTTCATCTCTAATAGAAAATATTAATAATTTATGATTTTTATCCATTAATTGTAAGAAAGGGAAATCATTAAATGAAATAAAATCTTAGCAAATACACTGAAAAAAATAGTATTGAATCAAGAAAACCTATGTACTTGACCGTATTTAATGCCAATATTTCCTTGATCCAAGAAATTTTTATTAGTTTGAAGTAAATTTTCTTGGATCAAGAAAATATTGGTATAAAATACGGTCAAGTACATAGGTTTTCTTGATTCAATACTATTTTTTTTCATGTATAGTACTTGTAATTAACTTTTAATTTTTCTTAGTACTTTTTTTCTTTCTTCTTAATAGAAATATAAAATTAAGCAATTAAAAATAGCACTTTGCTATAGGTGAATTTTAAAATTATATTTTAGGGTCATTCCATTTTATTTCACCTATAGTCGTTGCAGCCTATTTTTAGAAAAATTTGATATTTCGTATTAATGACTTTGAATATCCGTACAATTCATTTTTGACAATTATTTTATGCAATTTTTTTTTATTTACGGTGAAATTTAGTTTTTAAGTTGAGTTGAACGGAAAATAGGTTAGTTTGACAACTTTGGAAATTTTATAAAAAAGAACAAAAATAATTCAGTTAGTAAATTTTTTTCATTGATATTTGTTTAAAATAGTCTAATTTACCAATGTTTATTGATAATTGTGTGAAAAAAGCCAAAGACTAAGTGAAAATTAATATTCAAACTTACCTGTAAAATGTCAAAATTTGTCACATTTTATTTATATTTTCCAAGACATTTTATAAATATTATAAAATTTATTACTACCTAACAATAAGTACTTTCCATGTACTTTCACATGATATGTTGGCTTTTTATTTTTATAATATAGAAATATGTGAAATTTTATGTTGAATGTTGAACTTTTCAGGATTTTATCTGATTTTGAACACTTATATCTTCGCAGGCGATTAATGAAAAAATCCCATTTTGGTTTTAAAATTTAAGTTAAATCTTCTTCATTCATCTTATCAAAATTTGGTGATGGAGAACGAGCTATTTTTTATTTTTATTCACTTTAAAAAATTCACCGTAAAATACGAATTTGAAGGTTGTTTTGTTTTTGTTTTGTTTTGTTTAAATGGCCTCTTGTATAGACAAATAGCCAGTACTAAAAGTCACTTCCAGTAATAAAAGTTAATGAATGTCACTAATAATGATTAATTATTTGAGATTTTGGTATACAGTTAATTTTCACGAACACTGTTTTAACGATAGTATTTATGGGTAATCCAAGGCATTAAACCAGTCCAGGATTTTAAGTATAGGTAAAGTGCAGTTCACTGCAATGTATTATTGTCCACGTAGCAAGGCAGTCAAGTTGTGACTGTACCATTAGCCTCTATATCGTGTGAGGCGATTATTGTCCATTCCAATATACGAATTCAGTAAAGGTTAGATGTATATGCGGCGTTTAATAGTTACATATTACTGCTTAAGGGAAAAGGATTTGAGGGAAATTCACAATAATATCTCAAAAAATAAGCTTAGATTGAAGTTTTGAGAAGACTATAAAATTATACCACTATCCTTAAAGAATTTGCCAATTTCAATAACGGAATTTAAAGTTGGCTTAAAAATTAAACTGTCCAGATTAAAATTGTCCGGGTCAAAATTCAAAATTTTAGAGGACAAATAAGAGAAAAATGCAGGCCTAGAAGGAGATAATAAAGGACAATAACTTAATAAATGACGGAGGCTTTTAAACTCCTCGCCACACTGACAATTCAGAGGAAGAGTCCAATTCATTCTAGAGAAATGCTCTCCCGTACATATGTGACCAGATCTCAATCTTGTAATTAAATTAATATATCTTCTTGGCACATCAATGCCGCCAAACCAGGGTCTTACAGATTTGAAATTAACTTTTTCAAAATAGGGATTACGGGATATATTAGAACCAAAATAGGCCCATAATTTATTTGTCCACGATATTAGATCAGATCTCAACAATGAATAAAAGTCTCTCATTGGAGCACCCGCAAAATTACCTATAGGTAGATTGTAGGACTCTTTAGCCAACTTGTCAGCTTTTTCATTGCCTACAATACCCTTATGTGATGGGACCCACATAAATTGGATAAGACGACCCTCGTTAATCAACTCTAGTGTAATTTTAACTATTTTAAGTATAATGGGATGCGGCTTAAGAAGTGAAAACCTATTTCCAATGTCACTCAGTGAAGTTCTCGAGTCAGATACTATAATAATCTTATTTAATTGAGTAGATCTTATGAATTTCAACGCAGAAAATATACCGTATAATTCACAGGATTCAGCAGACATGACTCCACTGAGTTTGACTGAGAAATCAAGATTCATAGAGGGAACATGATAGCTTGCTCCAGAAAGACTCCTAGTTGGGTTATGTGAACCATCAGTAAAGATGTGCACATAATCCTTAAAAGAGGAGTTCATAAAAAAATCAAAAGTTTCACATGGATTGACACTAGATTTAACTTCCAAACCGGAGTCCACATCAATCGAAATATCAAATGTAAGCTCACGCCAAGAAAAATCAAAAAAATTAGGTTTTTTTGTTCTGCCACATTTATTGAGCATAACCCCAACATCTATATATGCTTCAAGTAAAGAAAACTTTGTCCTTCGTAAGATTTTTTCATCCGGAGAACCCGTTCTTCCAAATAATACTTCATCCAGTAATTGTAATTTGGGAAATAGGGGGTTGCGAGACCAAGAGATATTTCTAACTATGTGTCTTCTACAGAGCATGGCTCTTCTGAGATGTAAAGGGGGCTCATCAGATTCAGATAATAAAATTGAAGTGGGAGTAGATCGCATGCATCCAAGTACTGATCTTAAGGCAGAAAATTGTATACGGTCTAAAATAGCTAAATTAGATTTAGCAGCTAAAGAAAATAGTTGACATCCCCACTCCAAATGAGCCCTAACAAAACCACGATAAACATTAAGTAATGTAGTTGGATTAGCACCCCAAGAAACCTTAGATAAGGCCCTGATAACACTAATTGCTCTTGTGGCTTTAGCAGCAATATTTTTAATGTGGGGAAGCCATGATAATCTTCTATCTAGAATCACTCCGAGATATTCCATTGGACCACCAACATTAATTCTACATCCATCCAATTCGATGTATAATTGATTCAAATCTTGATTTGTTCTAGAAAATGCAATTAGTTGTGATTTGGGAATTGAAATTGTCAAACCCAAATCGACCAACCATTGAGAGACTAATTTGACCGCTTCCTCTAGTCTTTTTATTCCTAACGTTGGATCACTTGTCCTGATATATAGAATCAAGTCATCAGCAAACATAAGCCATTTAACATCATGTGGAATACAAGAATCAATATTGCCAAGAGCAAGATTAAACAAAAGAGGCGACAAAACGCCACCCTGAGGAACTCCAACACCCGAGAGCCTATACTCATCAGTATCAGCGGAAAAGAACAGTCTCCTTGAACTCGTGAGAAAA